GGCAGCAAAGGGATTTTCTGTCTTGGCAGACGCCCTGCCGCGCAGCCGGCCGGTTGGCTAAATCCTGGCGGAGGAATTTGAGCGGAGCGACAAAGCCCCCCGCCACATGCGCCCGAAGCAAAGAGCATTCGTCAGCGCCGCTGTGGAGCGGACGGCCATTGTGCCGCCCATCGGATGCAACGAATCCAACCTCTCATCCCCGAAACTCGCCGGGAACGCGCATGGCGGATTGGGCCCCCGGAACTTAGCGCAATGTCGCGACAGGCGCGATCGCGCATCCCGCACACGCACGCACAGCGGCCACAGCCACGCGCACCGCAATGAAGGTCAGTCGCCAATTGGCAACATGCAACGCAACAGGCCCTTCCTCCCCAGAGAAGAACAGCGCCGTGCACCGCCTGCAGATGCACGCTTTGGGCGGCGCAATCAAACGCGTTGCAGCGGTGCACGGTGCAGCGGGCCTTGCAGTGCCGACCGCATCGGCCGTGGAGGCCCCTCCCATGCCGTGCTCACCGCGTCATCCAGCGTGGTCACCATTGCGCGGTCCCCTGCGGTCGCCATTGAGCGCGGCACAGACGTGCGGAAAGCGAGCTGCAATGTGCTGGACCAACGGAGAAGCATGGAGAGCAAGGAGAGCGCTGCCTCCCCCTTTTTATACTCCCGCGGGCTCGCCCGTCAACCGCAGGTGCCGATCGGCACCTCGCGAGGTGCGTACTCGGGCCGGTGGACGGTGACTCCTTCTCAGCAGGGCCGCTGGCCGCCAGCGTCGAGGAGCTCTGTAGCTTGGCTGCACGCTCGCGCTCGTCGCGATGACGTGGACTCCGCCGCTGGAAATAATATTACTGCCTGCACCAAATCGGTGACTGTTTGCACCAAGTCACGTGCACACTTTGTCCTAACCTCAATTTTAGGGTTAGGTTTAGTTTCAGGGTGAGTTTTAGGGTTAGGGTTAGGGTTAGGACAGGTTTAGGTTTAGGTTTTAGGTTAGGTTAGTTTGGACGGAGTTGGACATGATGTGCACGTGACTTGGTGCAAGCAGTCGCCGATTTGGTGCAGCCAGTAATTTTATGCCCCGCGGCTGCCTGTGGGCTCGTCCCGGATGCAACCAAGTGTCCGATCCAAGACACCTGGACTGCGACTGAGCCCACAGGGTATCCGAACGTTGTGATACGTAAACGCGCCAGCAATCAGGGTGCCAAACATTGCTGCGGCCAGTTTTTCTTGCAGCGTCCCAAATCTGTTCCGATTTAAACCAGAAGGGCTGGCGACTGCAGCGCGGAGGTTGTTCGTGTCCGAAGTTGTAGATGGGAACATCCGGGAAAATTGGCGAGGCAGGACCGTCAATCACAAATCTTCCACTGTGAATCGGCATTGAAAATGCGCTCCTTTAATTTGACATGGTGCCGCCTAATGCTCCAAATCGGTCAAGAGGGCAGACTCCTAAAACCCCGGTCAGGGATCCTACTTGCGCTGACCGTTTGTGAAGCACTGGCGCATGGTTGCTCATGTTGCTCAATCGTGCAGCTCTCTCATCGCGCAGACGCCTCCGATTCCTTGGACGTTTGAATGCTACGAGAAACTTTTCTTTATGTGTACAACTTTTTGGGGTGATGCTACGAGGATTTGGTCACGCCGAACATGCTTGGTCTTCACGTTGACATCTACATTTTTACATTTCTACGTCTTTATGCCTACAAACTTAAAGTTGCAAAAGGGCCATTTTTCCTGCGGTATTTGCGCACTTTCACAGCTCGTCGGGACACCCAGGTCACATGATGAAGTCGCAAATAATTATCAGTCCTCTCCCTACTCAAGCATCCACAACACAGCATCCACCTTGCCCTCGGCAACGGCAAGGACGTGGCCGAACAAAAGGTGGTTTTCTGCTCACTCTAGCGCATTTATCTGCCACTCCGCGGACTCCTTGAGTCTGCATGTACTGTCTTTATGTACATCGGCTCAAAAGTGACGTATTTTTGCGCATATTTAGGTGTACAAACATTAAAGAATTTTTCCGCATAAATACGCGTAAAATCATTGTGTTTACGCCACAAAGACCAAGCCTGTTTAGCGGTACAAACGCCGGTGAAAATCGCGCTCATCCAAGGCCAAATATTGCGCCCTCGACTGTAGTTTTGGATCTAACTTTCACCAACGTTCTACACCAACGAAGCAATTGTCCATCCCGCTTGTCAAGGCGCTCTGTATTCGAAATCCAGTTGGTGGTTTTACCCTAATGAAAACTTGTAGCCAGTGCGAATGTTGAAATATCCAGAAGCGAAAGGGGATCAGCAGAGCCGGTCACACACATGCACGAGATCACAGATTGCAGTGAGTCACTGCAATTTATGTAATGTGCCTAATTTGTAGGATCACTGCCAATGATCACGCAAAATTACGCACATTACACGAATTGAAAGCTAAAAATGCACCAATGCTTCAAACGTCGTCTAGATACGCAGATCTGCGGGAAACAGACTCGGAATTCCAGTAATTTATACAGCATTGTATACATAACAATGCAACCATACATGCTTATGCGTATAACTACAAGCTGATATTGTGAAATTTGACTATGAATCTATGTGCTTGAAAACTCATAAATGTCGTGGCATTCAAAACGTTGCATACCGAGCACGATCGCGATTGGAACTCTTAATCCCGCTCTTCGTCCCTGCACGCCAAACAGCGCTGTTAGGCTGGCAGTTTTTATTTCTTTTTTTTCAGCTGCATTTTTTCTTTTTCTGTGTTTGCTTTTTATGCGCTTGGCGGCTGAGGTAATGCGACTATCTGGAAATCCTTGGCTCTGTCCAGCCATCCAGCGGGGTGTATCTGCTCGCGGCGCTGAGGATGGCCACGGCGAATTCGCAATCAATGCTCGGGGCTGGAGCTTCATGCACGCATCGCCTGCGCCGGGATCATCGAGAAATCGCACAGACTAGACCGACGCCTGAGTTCTAAGCGCTGTACCTAAATGGCTGGAAACGCTTGCAGCGTCGCGCCCCCCACCCACGATCGACCTGAATGACATCGACGCCCATCCCTGGCGCGATCACCATCCATCGATCCATGATTGATGAGCAACTCTAGAAAATCGATCTCCTGCACGCGACCTCAGGAACAACATGGCAGGGTCGACAGGCCTGAGGCGTCAAGGGCTCCGCTTGTAGGAGTTCGTGTGTCCTCCTGGGCGGGCGAGCTAACGCATCCCCATTACTACGTGCGTTGATCACGGAATCTGATTGGCCTGGACGCCCAACCGCCCAATCGTGACGCCACTGATACGGTGGCGGAGAGGCAATCTGTGCATGTGTTACGTGGCCTGAACCACGACGCCCAACAGCCCAATCATGAGCCGTCTTCGTCTCCATCGCCGTCTCTGCATGCGTGGTCTGCATCGGGAACAGCCTGGGGTGGATGGGGTTGGGCAGTAGCGTGGCCATAATTTCTTACTGCCCCTTCGGACACCTGCCTGGCCCCCGGACGGCTGGTACAACAACGTTTCTCTGGGTGTGGAGTACATTTCCCTTGTCAGAAAACTGGCTCCGCCCGCATTTGATACTTCCGGACTAAGTCCCACAAGATATGCAAGTCAAACATATTTTGTGGGAATCGGTGTGTGGGTTCGTCTTGGTGGTACCATGATCCGCCTTAATCTGTCGAGATATGGGGAGATGCGCGTGAATGACTGTGATTTGGGACGGTGATTGATAATTGCCTCTATGTCTGCCTAATGTATTTCCCGGCTCCACCGTCAGCAGCTGCACCTTACACATCTGTGCACACTCAATGATCGTTCAATTCTCACTGCCCACACGTGTGTTTGGTGAAAATTGAACGATCATTGTGTGTTTGGTACATTATGTACCAAAGTTATGATACCTTGCGATTCGTTTGCCAGTTAATGCAGACAAGGCGACAATATACATCAGTGCAGTTTCTGTGACGCCGTGTGCTCGCAAGGTCGGCGAGGGTCGACATTGCTAGGCAAGTGGGTCCGAGGCAGGACATCGCCCAAGTTGGTGGACATCTTCCACCCTTGCAAGGGTCGAACTGGAATTACGAATACACAAATACGCATTGCCTCTCCGTCACCGTGCCAGTGGTCGGCACGGGGAGAACACCCACGAACATCCAGAGGGGCGCACAATTTCCCAGGCCCAATCCAATCCAGTCACTGGTGCCCGTGCCCGGCGTCACCCTGGCCCCCCCCTCTTCCCCCCACCCGATTGACTCAACTTCCAGTGGAGCCGGCTGCCCAGCCGCGCACGGGGTGGCACACTGCTGACTGGCGCCCGGGTGGCCGCGGTGCGCGCTCCGCACCCCCCCCCTCCCCCCCCCGCCGGGCCGCCTGCTCCCCACGGGGGCGGGCACGGCCTCCAAGGTGGAGTCGCCAACCTTCGACGGCGTGGAGTCGTACTTCGCATCGGAGGTGCGGCGTGGCGCTTTCCCTTTTGATCTTTTCTCTTTTTTGCAATCCGGCGGGCGCAATCGGATCGCGCTGTTCGCGTGGGGTGGGAGGATCTATGGCGCCGGGTGGAGTGGGTGTGTGGGGGGGGAGAGGGGGGGGTAATGATGCGCCCGTTGCTGTTCCTGGTCTGCCCGGCTGGCTGTTTGTGGTGGTTTGGGGGGTTGGGGGGTTGGGCGGTGCGGCGGTGAGGCAGGGAGATCACGGTGGACTACGCCATGAAGTGGCGGCCGGGGCGGTGCCGTAGCCGCGCGGGCGCTCTAGGGGATTCCGCCAGGAGGGCCGACGGCTGGGGGAGCGAAAATGCGCGTTGGGCGCCGCCTGGGGAGGTGCGCCCGCGCCGGGCCGGGGCGCTTTTGGGGAGGGATGGGCGCCAGGGCGTTTGTGGGATGCGCGCAGCGGCGCCCTGGCGCAGTCCTGTGGGCCCCTCTGGGCCCCATCTTGTCATCTGTCGTCAGGGGCCAGCGCCGGTGTGCCGTTGTCACCGTCGGCGGGTGGCTGGCGAATGACCTGCGTGTGTCCGCGGGCGCAGATGGCTTCCGAGATAATGGGCGCGGAGGAGGACAGCAAAGAGCCCGTGAGCCGGATGCTGGAGGAGGCGCCGGTGCCCGAGGACTCCCTGGCAGCGCTGTCGGCCATCCCCCAGATCCCCGCCTCCAACGGCGATGGCTACCTGCACGAGCTCCAGGTGGGTGGGCTGCCCTCGCCGCGGCCGTCGATCGGATCTTTTTCGGATTGCTGTTAGGGGCTGGAAGGGGGAAGAAGAGAGGTGGGGGAGGGGACGGTTTGACGCCCGACGGGAGCGGCTGCCCGCTTTCCGGTAGCGCAACCGAATTTCTGTTGCTGGGCGTCGAGGGAGGAGAGTGGGGATGCGGAGATTGGGGTGCGCACGGCTGGGCCGGCGAGAAGAATCGATGAGAGCGGCCGGGCGGTTGGCGATGGTCAACGTGCGCGGGCGCATCCCGAAGGGGAACGGTTGCCGACGGGGCGTGGCGCTTGGGTTTCTGGCGCGCGTTAGGATTCGAGCGGCCGAATTGATTGTTGAAATTTGGCTGCGAAAGGGAAAGCCGTTGAGATTTGGCTGGCAGCCCCGGGGCGTGTGCGGCGGGGGAACGCGCTGACTGCACGCCGGGCATGCGGCGACCGCGCGGGCCTGCCTGGCTGTGTGTCTGTTTGCATCGAAGCGGCCCCATGCGCACTGCTGTGTGCCTGAGCGTCTCGCGATGCTTTTGCCCTGGCGAGACAAGGCGAACGCCGTGCGCCCTGCGGGCGATGATGGACGTGCATGCACGGGCGCTGTCCTGTCCTCGCTTTTGTCATTGCTCCAAATTGGGGCGCTGTTCAGTCGCGACTGGGAACGCCACCCCTGTGCTCTCGCGAGACACTCCTGGACGTTGCAGGGAGAAGCAATGGCTGGTGGCGTTGATCCCCCTGCTTTGAGCATAATGGTCGAACCTTCCTCCGCCCCTATGCTCGCACGCAAATATCGAAGTGCAGCGGGAGAATGTTTGGTACGAAACAATGATCAGCACATGCTCAGGGGGGCAAGTTGGCCGCTGCATTGCCAGAATACACCCAGCGGTGGCTGATGGTCGGGCAAAAGACGACAAGCAAGCCTTGCACTTGGCAACGTTAACCTTCCTAAAGCACTTCTGTTTTAGGCTGGAGGGGCGAGGGATGGCATAGATTTAAGGTCACAGCCCAGGGCAACCAAGATCGCACGAATGTGCAAGCAACTCCGTTTGCCATCCACCCGGGGGGTATGAGGCACTCAAAGAGAGGAGGGCCTCAGCTGAACAATGTAATGGCCATGTAGCACCTTCAGCTGTTACATTGTAACAGCTTAGTACGAATTCTTCTCCATATTGCAAAGGTGTCCAAAAAGAAATCATGCAAAACAGGCAAGGGGCCCACGTGGAGAAGGGGTAGTGGGGTACATGGGGAGGTATTGCAGTTTCTGAGCGCAACGTCAAGAGCAAAGGGACCCCTTGTCCTAGAGACATTGTTGCTTGGGGGCTTGTGTGTTTGGTGGGGCACTGACACCACCTGTTCTGTGCCTTTTCCTGCAGCAAGCCATCACCCAGGAGTCCCAACAGGCAGTTCTGGCGCCTGAGGCCCAACTGGCTGATGTGGCCAAGCAAGTTGGGGCACCTGTCGGCCAGGAAGCGCAGGGCCACGGTGGCCTGGTGGCCATGGGCTCGGACGACCTGGGCGATACGATCATGACGCCCAAGGGCAGTGATGGCAAGCCACGGCCGAGCCTGCTGGACATGTCCGAGTCAGAGAGGATACGGCGGCGGAGGGAGATCAACAGGAACTCTCAGCGGCGCATACGAGAGAGAAGGATGAAGGAGCTGGATGAGTTGCGGACAGAGGTGTGTGCGTTCTGCTGTCCTGTTTGAGTCAGGCAAATTGCAACACAAGTTGGAGATTAGGTGCAGTCATTGCCCCAATGGAAGAGATCCTGGGGTGCACATGCCTGTTGCAGTTGTTCAGCTTGCATGGAATATCAACGCTGAAAAGTGCAGTGTCTCTGTCCCGCTGATAGCAAGAATAGATTGAACAGAGACCTGAAGGCAGGGCAATTGCTTCTGACTGACTCACTGTAATGTGCGACAAACGTTGGTTGATGCTTTTGCTTTGGGAACCAATTTGTGGTTGTACAATGGCTGAGGGGCGTCAGGCTAGTTGGCTAACGGATGCAGAATAGTGCTGCACTGGCTGGGTCAGTGGTTCTCCTACTGGCATCTGTACACTGTTGTGTGTCTTTTCATGGCCAAGTGCAGTGTCTACAGAACACCGCTCGCAGAACATGTGATGGCTGTGATACATAGTTTGCAACCTAGAACGACGTAGTACTGCACAAAAGGCGAGGATGCAATACTGAAATTGGACGGTTGAGTAGCGTGGCAGTCTCTTCTGGGCCTTAGTACTTGGTGCGCAAGGAAAAGAATCTGTCGTCATGCATCCCAAAGTACTAGGTTTTCAGAACAGGTGAGGGAGCATCTGCTCTGTTAAAGGACTGGTAGCTGGCCTCAACTTTGTGGTCCAAAATTCCAGCGTGCAGCCGCCTCCCATGCGTGGTCGCCAGAACCCTGGGGTGAAAGGTCAGTACAGCCTAGTTCAAAGCCTTCAGAGCCATCTACAAAAAAAAATAGGCCATGGCCCAGCACCAGCTTGCGGCAAGTGGGCCACAACCACGCACATGGGCATCAAGTCAACCAATTGAAGTGTTGGTACAGAACTCTTTATATTTTTGTAGTCTGGTGCTTGCTACGAGCCTGCATAGCAGCATTAAAGCCAGGTGGTATGCACATAGCCACATTGCTTGCAGTTGTCATTTGCACAACGGTGAGCTATCCCTGCACCGAACTGATGAGTTGAGACATGCCGCACGTTTGCATCTGCTGGTTCCAAAAGCTTTTGTTCCAGAAGGGTGCATCAAGTTCGAGAGTCCAGGGGCCACCTCCATCGCAACAAAGAATACAGTGCCTTGAACTAGCTCACAAGAAAGTGCATGGCAGTCTGCTGCCCCAGGACTGGTCAGCCAAACTAAATGCACCAGTCAAAGAAGAGAATTTGCGCGCTCAGGGGGCCCCTGGCAGATCACAAGTCGTACATCTCTCAAATGCTGTGTTGGCACGCTGCTGGCAGACGACCCGCATGCACCACGACAATGAGCAGCTCATCAGGCAGGTGGACTGCATCACTGCCGAGAAGGCCGAGCTGCTGCGGCAGATCCAGGACCTCACGGAGAAGTGGCAGCAGTCGATCGCGGAGAACGCCGTCCTCAACCGCGAGAACCTGCAGCTCAGGAGCAACCTCCAGCAGTTAACCGGCCTGTCTGGCGTGGTGCCGGGATCCATAGCGGGCGGCGTGCCTGCTCCCCAGGCGCAAAAGATGGTGGGGAACCAGTGAGGAGGCTGAGCAGGAGGCGGGCGTGGAGCCTGCGTTGCGGTATCACAAGGTGTCCACATTGTTACATTCAAGCCCTTTTGAGCGACAAGGTTATTTTGGGGGGAGGGGTGGGGGCAGTCGAACGGTGGGTGAAGGTAGGGATTTGCAGCAGTGATTCAGGTTGGGGGGGTGGGGGCTGTTTGGCGGCTGTGTTTGCAGCGGGTTGCTGGCGAGGCGCCCATGCAGCTGGTGCTGGCGGGGCGCCCATGCAGCAGCTCCTGCTGGAGTAGCTGAGACGGAGTAATGCCGGAACTGCAACTTGATAGCAGTGTGGCTGGTGGGATCTCGAGAACTCTGTCGCTGGCCCCGAATGTTGGCAGGAGGTATATGAACGAATGTCGAATTGAATTATTGGTGCACAGGATCGTTGGAGCCCTTCCAAAGTGCAGATGCAGTCCCGTGTGCCTGGGTTTGGTGTCATACTATATACGTGTTTCCCAGGCGCTGTTTAGGTTCTTCATTTAGGTGTAGGATGCTGTGCGCAGTTTGCGTTTGAGAAAAAGAGCGGCTGTTGTGGCCGGGTGGGTTGGAGTACAGGGTTGGTGGTCGTGAGGATGGAGAAGCGAGTGACCAGGTGCAAGAGTGGCAGCCCCGGCAAGGTGGTAGAAAGATGAGAACCAATGCGGAGGTTGTGGCCATTTTCGTGTTGTTCCCCTGGTATCTCCTGACTCGTTGATTTTGCTATGCATTGTGGACCATTGATTGTATTGATCGCAATTCTTACTGCCCATCCCTGTTGGAGTCTCAGTTTCGTGATTGGGAGTGCACGTCTGTTCCGAGGTCTCCAAGCGACTCGTCTCTGGTGCTGAGCATGTCGAGAGCACGACGGTCACGTGGGGATGACAAAGGAGGAGGGGTTGAACGGCAACCAAGGGCGTGCTTCCATCACGCAAAACCGATGCACGCCCACTCTCACCCTTCCGCCAGAATCAAGCGAGGATGGATTGAAGCAAAAGGATGCACGACGCGTCCATGAAACAATGCATGGATGTAAGCGTTTCATTCGCACAGATTCCCCAGGCCGAGCTGCGGCATTCATCACACGAATCGTAACCTGCCAGCTTGTTCGCCTCCCGATCTGTTGCCTGTACAGTTTCCATGTGCATGCCCGGAAACATGTGAACTAGCGGTGAGCAACGGGTGGCAAGCTCTGCTCAGCAATCCGTCCCTAAGGGAAGACCGTTTCACACAACCCGCTCTGAGTGCTGGGTCCTCAGGGCTGCAGCGTGCACAAGAACCTTGGTTCTTTGGTAGCGCTGGCTCTCATGGATCTCATGGAGGCGAAGCCCTGCTCATACACAAGGCCCATTCAGCAGCAGAAAAGAGGAAGTAAAGCAGCAATACAGAGTAACAGGAAAGAGTGACGTCATGAACAGTCACACACATATCTCACAAGGTGCATAGCCAGTGTTGGGGTGACTTCAGTGCTGCCGTTGAACCCATTGCACAATTTCGGCTCCTCGAATCAGTCAAACGTCCATTTGCGAAGTTCCCACAACTTTCATCGTTGTAGAATACTTTTGATGGCTGCTACCAGAAAAAAAAATGCTGCTCCTCCACCCACCTGACTCATTCACACCGTCCCCAACTGCCCGCCCATCAAGGGCATGAGGTGTCAAAAATGTCACCACAAGGGCGTCACACTCATTTTGCGCTGACGCGAAGTCGACGTCACAACAAGGGATTTCCTTCTGATGAAATGGCACCTGGCTGCCTCCTGCTGCTTCTTGCTTCACATCAGGGTTCCTTTCAAACCAGACTCCAGCCTTGATGGCATGGTGCGTTTGGCACCAACACTCTGGATAGCATTAAGCACAGCGTCCAAACAAAGATGATGCAGTGCCATATATGATGCCGTTCAGGCATAATCACCAAACAGGAACGCCACTTGTTTCTCTGGGCTCCGAGTCGGAAGGGACGCCTTCTCGATCTTACTACTCCCAACAAATTAAGGCCAATGATGCCTTCCAGCCCTGGATGGTGTAAGGTGGCACGATGCCAGCCAAATCCGAATGCTGCAACTTGTGTTTCTGCCTGTTTCTTCGGCCAATAATGCAGAGCATGGCTGTCCATGGTGTCTGCATTTGCCATGTGCCAGACAGGAGTTCATGGTCTCATCCACACCACCAGCACAGACACACAAGCATCCAGGCCTTTGTGTGCCAACATGATGCCTCTTTAAGCCTGCCACATCCATTCACAAATTCTGCCAGGGCTGTGAATCATTTACCATACCGGTCAGCACTCCCCCTGGTCATTCCCTGACCTGTGCGGCAGTGTGCCCTTGCCCAACGAAGATTCCATCCCCACCTTGCTCACCCGGCTCCCCTTCTGGCCTGCGCTCATCCCCGCCAGTCTGCCAGACACCCATGCCCAATAGAAGTTAAACCCACCGATCCTGCCAAACACGTCCAGCAGCTCCCCACACAGGTACACGCCAGGGGCCACCCGGCTCTCCATCGTCCCGCAGTCAACCTGATCCAATGGGACCCCGCCCCCAGTCACCTCTGCCTTCCTGTACCCCCCATGCCCCTCGCACCTCAACCTATATTCGCACAGTGCCTCCACCAGCGCCCGCACCTCACCCTTCCTCACCTCGGCCATCCTCCTATCAGCGGGCACTCCACATTCGGCCATCAGTGCCTCCGCCAGCCTCTTAGGCAACCCCCCTTCCTGCAACACCCCCAGCACCCCCCCCTTTCCCCCAGCACCCAATTTCACCTCCCACTCCCCCCGCCCCGCCCCAGTCCAATTCACGACCACTGCCAGCTCCCCCCCCTCCCCCTCTCCTTGTGTGGCGTCTTTTCTTTGTTTTGTAACAAATTCTCCTTGTTTTGCAGCAAATCTTCCCCTCTCCTTCTCGCCCTCGCCAATCTGCCACACCACCCTGTGGGACAAGTCCAGCACGCTGGGCCCGCTGTACCCCCTGTGGGTGAACAGAAAACCGGACCTTGCCGCTCTCTTCAGCTTCTTCTTCCCCTTGCCCACCCTCACAGATGCCTCCACCGCATACAGCGACACGCCTGGCAGCCTGGCACCCCCCGGGTGGGGCCCCTCCAGGGGGGTCAGCGCCGGGTAGGGCTCCACCAAAACGTGCCCCAACCTCTCCAAGATCTCGTACCCCGTTCCGTCCGTGCCCACAGCGGGGAACGACTTTCCCCCCGTCGCCATCACCACCGCATTGGCCAAATGCACCCGCCCATCCGCGATCCTGCACGCCCAGCCGCCATTTTCCTCCGCCTCCAAGCCTTCGACGCTCGCGCCGGGGATGAAATCAACCCCCCCGCGCCTGCACGCGCCCACCAGGGCGTCCCTCACCTCTCGTGCCGAGTTGCTCGCCGGGAAGACCTTCCCCGTCTCCGCCTCCTCTGCCAGCCTCAGCCCCACCCGCCCCTCCAGCCACTCCCTGCACGACCCCATGTCCCACGACGCGAACACGCGTCGCAGCGCGGAGGCACTCCCGTCCGTGACGAAGTCCCGATCGACATCAAGCCCCGTGGGCATCACGTTGCAGCGTGCGCCGCCGGACATCAGGATCTTCTTCCCCGGCTCGGAGGTGCGTTCCAGCACCGCGACGCGCGATCCCGGATCGGCGGCCGCGGCGAAGTAGGCGGCCGCGAGGCCGGCTGCTCCCCCGCCCACGATCGCCACGTCGGAGATCGATGAGCCTGCGGCGGGCGCGACGACTTGGCTGGAATGAAATCTGGAGGCGTCCGAGGGGGGGGCGGGGCGAAGCGCGGCCACCACGTGGATGCCCCTGGAGGGTCCGCATGCGGCGAGGCGCCCCGCAAGGATCCCCCTCAGAACGCCGCGCGACTCCATTGCGGCGCCGGCGGTCCCCTGCGCAGCTCGCTTTCCCGCCCTGCCTTCGCCAGCCGACAGTCCCCAAACGCGTGTCAAGGAATGTGCCCGCCCCCGGAACCTTGGACTGGGACTCAGCCATCGGCGATTACTAACACACTCACTACACACACGCGAGTCACTCCCCCGCTGCGGCCATAAAGGACCCCCCGCCGTTCCCAGCGCCCGGCCATCTCCCACCCACCCACCCAGGAACAGTGTCCGTTCAACAAGAACACCTGCCCCAACTCCCGCCCTTTACCGTCCCTCGCGTCCCGTGTCCCCTCCGAGGCGTCCCCTCCCCCCCTCCCTTCCCTTTCCTCCGTGCAAAATTCAATCGCCATGCCAATCCGCGTCCTGGTCTCGAACGACGACGGCATCTCGGCGCCGGGCATCACGGCCCTCGTCCGCGCCCTGCATGCCGCTGGGATGGACGTCCGCGTCTGGGCCCCGACGTCCAACAGCTCGGCCTGCTCCCACAGCGTGGCGCTGCGCGGCCGGACGCCGGTCCACGTGTTCCGGGACGGCAGCGCGGTGGGCCTTCCGGCGGCCGTGGCGGCCGTGGCGGTGGGGTCCACGCCCGCGGACGCGGTGAAGATGGCGCTGGACATGCCCGGACTGCCGGGGGGGGATTTCGAGCGCACAGGTGGGAGGGCTTTTTTAACGCTTCCGCGGTTATTTTTTGGTTCTTGATTTGGTCTTTCTCCTCCCATGGGGCGATGATTGAACGAATTAATGCATCCTAAAGGCAACCCGAAACTACGACACATTTGGTGATGCCGAGTGGCTCCGCTGAAGTCAAATCGTGAGACAACCTCAGGTTTCTTGCCGCCTGCGCATGGGCCCAAGGGGGTGGGAGTTGCAAGGCCTTTTCATTGGTTGATGTTTGTGGGGGGTCCGCTGCTTACGAGTGTCAAAATGTACGTTGCAAAATGCCGCATGGCTAAACGCGGCGTGCAAGGCCCGTGCGCAGGGGCATGTGATGGCTGGCAATGGTGGTTTGATTGCTGTACTGGGTGACGACTAGCCGACGACGTTTGGGCGCCTTGGCGGCGGTTCGGCGCCTACTGATGGGGATGTGCGAGGTCGCGTCTGTGGTCGACGGTTTTCACTGGTTGTGGCGGGGGTGCATGCACGAAATGACGGGTCATTATTGTGGAACGGGCACCAGGTCCTGGAATGGCTGCCCGCGTAACAGCCCGATTGTCCCCTTTGCTCCTATAGACAAAGAACAGAGCAATTCGTATGCTGCCAGAGAATCTTTGGAGTACTTGAGGTGGGAATGCAGTTCGTTGGCGGGTGAGCGGAACATTGACACCGTATTTATGATTGATGGAAGATACTTCACGCTTGAGTACGACAAAGCGACGCTGTCTGTCATTTTTGGTGAATGCCTCAAATTCAGGCACTGGGCACGTCTCAGGGCGCTTGCGGTTGTGCGCACTGCACTGATAGCGTATCTGCCTGATGGTTATTGCAAAGTAACAAAATGTGGCTGTTTACTAGAATAGCTGCTCGACTACGACTTGGGGGATTTTCCACACGTTTTACAGGCTACATTGAACTACATCAGGGGATGGCTTCAAAGGCCATTTACTTCTCCTCGCCCAAGACGAGTCGCCTGGAATGCAACCAGCCATATCCAGACCGGTTGCCTTGCAGCCCAACGGATCAAAAACTTAGCGCATACCCCAAAACAAGCCGGTGTTAAGCGTCAAACATGCAGTCAGCACTAAGCTTAAAGAACACATGCACACATAAGGAGCAAAACCAATCTCAAGCCCGCTTTTGTGCGCCCTTTCTGCCAGCGAATGGCGCGGAGCCTGGAACAGCCCCGTTCGAGTCCTGGTCCCCCGATGTCGTCGTCTCCGGCATCAATCACGGCCCCAACTTCGGCACTATGGCGTTCTACTCTGGCACCGTGGCGGCCGCGCGGGAGGCCTCTTTCCAGGGCTTGCGGTCCATCGCCGCTTCTCTTGACGGCTTCCGGAAGCGGCTTCCGGAAGATTTTGAACCGGCGGCGGCCATCCTGGTCCCGCTGGTCCGGCGGATGGTTGCGGAGCCCGCCTGGCCGCGAGGAGCCGTGCTCAACATTAATGTGCCGTGCGGGGACGAAAAGGGCGCTGAAATTCAACAAAGCGCGGGAGATTCAAAACTCCGTAGTGTTGGCGGGAAGCCGCGGGGTTTAGCAATAGTGCCCATGGGGGGATCGGGATTCGAGGCTCACTTTGTGCGGGTGGATGACTCGATTCGTCCTCCGAATTCGGAGGATCTGAGAGAATCGGATACGAAATCGGTGGGCGAGGGGGATTGGGAGGGGGGGGAGAGGTTTGTGTTCAAGGCGAGGTACCGCGCTAAGTACGAGGGGGCGCCGGCGGAGGACGACGGCGTGGCGTTGAGGGAGGGTTACGTGACGCTGGCGCCGCTGGGACTGGGGGGCGGCGGGAGGGAGGTGGAGGAGGCGGCGGCGTGCCTTGAGAGGTGGCGGAGGGAGTGGGAGCACCCAGGGCTGCCGTGGGCAGAGCTGTGACGCCAGGGTGAGGGTGGGCGATTTGGTCGTCTGATTGTGGGGGCCAGCGGCGGAGTTGACTACACGGGCTGTGTTCACCCTTTGATAAGTGGTCGGGGCGACGATTGTGCGTGTATGTTTGTGGGTTTGTTATTGTTGTTTGGTTTAGTGTTGTTGTATTTTGCTGCCTGCATGTGCGCGATCGTGTAACTGGTTCTGATTGCGTTCTCGCTGCCATCAGCAAAACACTGAGGAGGGGTGGTGCTTGATTGTACAGCCGAAGCAGCGGACAAGCGGCACAGCTGTCGCAGCAAACTGACGGAATTAGCAGATAAATGTAATAATGTAATGCAAATAGATGTAATAATAATGTAATGTAAATAGATGTAATAGAGCACACGTGCCACTGCAAAGGCTGTTAATACAGTGTGGCGCGATCTTCCGCCAGCAGTTTCGAAACTCATAAACCCGGGCCGAAACTGTGCAGAACTGTTCAATTCTCCTGCCTGCGGAGGAGCGTCCAGTGCCGCGGGCATGTCCCTTGTCCGCCCTCCGCATTCTCCCCTGCGGCGTGACTGCACGGGCTCCCGTCGGACACTGCCGCCACTACACCGCGCCTGGCGTCACTCCCATCAACGCGCTCCCTCAGGCAAAAACCGCCCCAGTACTTGCCGCCTATTCTGAAAACACAGGCCCTCCGAGCGAGAAAACAGAGCTCCTCGCAAGCACCGCCCCGCTTGGGTACCCCCACCCCCACCCCCCAGTTGGACCGCCACCCGCAGTCCGTCGGGGCGGGGCGCCCGGAGCTTGCCATTGCTCCTCCGTTGAGCCGTCGGCGACGCGTTGATCTTTCCTCCGGCGGCCGCCACGATCGCGGCCCCGCGGCGCCATGGCCCCCAGGAGGCGTCGGCCCGGGGCCAAGAAGGACGACGAGGGGCCGGGGCGCGGGCTGCCGTCGACGGCGGCAGAGCCGGCGCCCGGGAGCGGGCTCCGAGGCGGTGGGTGGCGATCGGTCGCAATCTCCTGGCAAAAGAATCCCCTCGTGAACTATTGATGGGCGCCCGGGCCTGCCGGCCGAGCGTGGGCCCGATGCATCCAACGCCGGATATCACGCGTCGATCTCCAGGCGTTCCGAGCAGCTGCCCGGATCTTCAGATCCGCCGCGGGTGGCGGGAGCTCAGCCGTTTCTCACGCGACCCCTGTGTTTTCGGGGACCGTTTTTTGGGGACCGTTTTGAGAACCGTGATCATGCGTTACACTGCACGTTCCCCCTCCCCCCCCTCCCAGGCCCCCGCTTTCTGCTGGTCTCCGTCGCCCTCGCTCTTGGGTACCGTTTTTAAGAATCGTGGCTGTGCCTTGCTCTGCCCCCTTCCCAATCCCCCTCCCTTTTGAGTTGCTTGTGTTGTGCCCATCTTTTTGCATCCGATGCTCGATATCATCTTTTCACAGCATGGAAAAGAGCCTCGCATACACTTGCTTCGGAGGGTGTGCCCTTTGGGCGACCTGTTTTCTTTCTCTCTTTGCACCAAATCTTACCCGTCCCCTTCCCCAACAGGCGCCCTCTTCCTGCTGGTCTCCGCCGTCCTGGCCTCGGCGGTCTACTACCTCCGCGGGGGAATCGGTTCGGAGGTCGGCGTCCTGTCGCGCTTCCAGGCGCCTTTAATGACGGACCTGGCCGAGTTCGACGACGACTACAGGCGCCGCATGCTGTGGGGCACCTACAGGCCCGGCCTGTACTTTGGGTTGAGGACGAGGCTGCCGAAGTCGCTGCTGACGGGGCTGGCGTGGTTCCAGCCCGCCAGCAGGGACGCGATGAACAGCGTGCGGCATCTGGCGGGGGCGCCACCCGGGGCCACCAAGTTTGGGTGGCTCAGGCACGATGGCGCCAACTTCGGGATTCAGGAGGTGGTGGACGGGAACATGACGATCAAGACGTCGTGGGTGAGGGCGGGGGGGGAGGGCCGATGTGGATTGGGGGGGACGGTTGGGGATTGAGCGTAACCTATAGGATAATAGGCGAACCTTCGTGTTTGCGCCTGTGTGGCAAGGTTTGTGACTGATGCAAGGCCTGTTTGTGACCGATGTGCAGATCTGTTCGCTGCTCGATCTGCCGCTGCTGATCTGGGGCACACGCTTGTGTTGATTGCCACGAAGGGATCGCGCTGTTGGATGCCCTCCTGTGCGCATAGCAGTGTTTGGTCACCGGAACTTTGCCAGCTCATGGCGCCTACATTTTGTTTGTTAGTGCATCACTTGCCAAGAAATCCGGCCGCCACGCGCAGGGCTGAAGCCTGCCAAAGGCGGATGTTGCCTCCTGAGTCCCTGCTGGTTGGCATTCGTGCTGCTCTGTGCTTTGTACCCTTCCTAGCACAGTGTGTGCTGCTTTGTGCTGAGTTCTGTGGGATGGGGGGAACCATCATAATTCTCTTGTTTGCTAAGGAGCAAGGTCCATTATGTGAATTTTGTCCTTATGATAATATGTGATCAATACCATCAATATTGATTGTGCTGCATTTGCCGTCATGCAATGGTATACTGTCATCGTGACACTGATGAACATGTCATTGTACCTCAACAGCAGTTATGGCACAAATGTGGTTGGTGGTGTGTTCACTTGGGCCCATTCCACAGAACTGCCCTTCCACAAATCTGTGGACTGCTTTTCTCAGACCAGCCAGTACAAACAAAATAGCTTGCATCTTTCAGGAGATGGCAGGCATGGAAATCTGTTCAGAATTTCCAAAATCTTCATTACACAGCGCCCCGTTTTGCAACATGGAAAACGCACTTCCATGACTGCACAATTTAATGAACCCACCAGGTGAAGCACCACCATCCCGAGAGTGGTATAGGTGGTGACTGGAGCGTGCGGGTGTCAGCCTGGTTGCGGGAAGGTGCAGAGCCCGCCCTCAAGCATGTTCCCTTCATTTTTTACATCGCTGATGAGCACGGCCCTGACATGACAACTGGCATATTGGGGCTTCGGGCGAACCCAGATGGCAAGCCTACAGGGAGGGGTGGACGGGTGCTGGTTGGGAGGAATGAGGACCTGGGTGACTGGTCGCTTTACCTGCAGTGTGGAAAGGACACTCAGTGGGATCTGCACAGCACCGGGCTGCCACTTGATCACTACCATAATGTCACCGAGATGATGCAAGGCCTGGTCTTCATGGGTGTCCAGCAGCAGCTGAAGCAGCAGAGGTGAATTGACTGATGGTTGTTTGGTTTGCTGCAATTCTGTCGCATGTTTCCCTCACATATGATTTTTTTTTCTATGCCCCCGCTACCTGTCTCGCCGGAGCAGGTGTGGCTTTGCACCGTCTTCAGTTGCTCATGTGGGGAATGGTGCCTATCCTTGAGGTGTGGACAGCACCAAGTGTCACTTCGGCTTAATTGGAGCACCATTTTGGTGGTCCTTGTTTGATCAGAAAGGGCACCAACAGCACAATCAACAGGCCAGGCAACTTGTCTGGAGTGAGAACAAACAGGAATTTTGTCCTTTTTGTGACATTCTGTGCAAGGGTAGGTAGTTCGGGTAGTAATTGGGACCAAACCCAAGCAGAGGTCAACTCTTACGTTGTACTTGCAAAAAAACGACAAGAGTTTCAGCACATCCACGTCGCAACCAGCCCTCTGGTCAGTTCCCTTCTATGCAGTCAGACCATTGCACCAGCACCGTACCAGTTCCTTGGATGTTCCAACCAGGTGGGAACAGAACCAACGAACCTGCTTGGCACCTCCAATGTGTGTGACCGAGTACAATGTACATTGGCCACAAGACAAATTCCAATGATTCACTGTGCCCAGTATTGATGTCATTCCCCAACACGTTTCTAGCGGGCTTGCTTTTGGAATTGCAGCACTGCTTAACTTCCACTCACCCATTCTCTAGCACATAACATAATTGAGGGAATCTGTTGTGGAAATTCGACCTGGTGTTGTGGTTCATCAGAGTTGGCGGAGGGTGCCAATAGTCTGGTTTGCTCTGATACCCAGAAGACCTTGGTGTTGCCAACGATGCAGTCATTTCGTTTGCCGTTTGCCAGCTTGCAATGGCCTGAGCCCTTGCTCTCTGAGAGGGCAGAGCAGTGCATGGAATGGGTGCTTGCACAGTGAGCAAGTTCACTGCAAGCCATCAACCCTGTGCATCGCATGGCCACATTGCCAATGTTTTCATCTGGAAATGGACTACTGCTGGCACTAAATGAGCTTTTTTCCTTCACTTAACTGTGCACTCTGGTATCTTGCATTCCCCTATCTCAGTTTCGAAAGTCTCCGCCCTCAATCATCTGTGCAAGTTGGTACTGTGAGCCTGCAGACTGCATGTGTCCAAACACAGATGGATAGGACCATCTATGTTCTCAGCAGTTGCTGATAGCTTCTTGATGCGACAGACCATGGTCCTCCCACACCTGCGACTGATGTCAGTGTTTCTATCCAACCTAGGGAAGGTCAAAGTTCTGAAAACAAGGTCCGCCTCGTGATCCCTGATGGCTGGTGGGCAGGTGACGGGGTGGAGCCCAACGCCGCCTTCTTCCAGGTGGACATCGTCCTCCCAGGGGAGTTTGAATTCGTATTCCTTAGTGGGCAAGATGAGCAGGAAGCGAGGCTGGAGGCACTGACTGGTGAGGGCATTTTGTTGTGGGTCAGCCCTAAGCAGGGAGGGCTCTGACATGTTGAGGAGGCATTGTAGAGCTGCTCGCTCGCTTGCGTGAGTCCACGATGTTAAATTTATCATAGCATTGCGAAACAGTATTGTGAAGTACTTACTGCCTTTGTGCCTGTTGATCGTGCCAGGCATTGCTTGCATTCGCAAGACTTTGCGCTTTAATTGTTTTCTTCTCCTGTTCTGTCCTCTCATCTGGAACCATCTCCTTAGATGCCAAGGCAGCAGGCATGCTCAGTGCAGGTTGAGTGGATTCTGTCTTGAAAGACGTCCAAACTTGGATAACAGGACGAGAAATTGGTGAGGCAATGAAGAATATTTCGCAACTTCAGGGCTGTTTTCTGTAGAGATTCTATGTGTTAACCCACAGGCAGAAGCTTACAAGGGCTGTGTGTGGGCAGGAAGCAGGCTGACATCCTTGCTGGAGAGCCACACGACAGCATTTAGCAAACGATTCGAAGAAACTTTTGGGGTGGGCGATGCGGCAGATGTGCCAGCAGACTTCGCTGAAGTGTCTAAGCGGGCTCTGAGCAACATGCTGGGGGGCATTGGGTACTTCTATGGCAGCTCTCGTGTGGCACTTGAAAAGAACAATCCTGAGAAAGTACGCGAGTATGGGCCATCAGAGTTGTTTACGTCTGTTCCCAGCCGCTCCTTCTTTCCACGGGGCTTCTTGTGGGATGAGGGCTTTCACCAGGTGAGGGGCAAACCAGAGGGTACAACAGGTACAATTTAACAGGTGCATTCCACAGTGAGCCACAGAACGTCAAACCACAAGCTGCAAGCATGTCCAGCCCAATGATTGCAGTAGCACAACAATGCAAGGTTTGATTCCCGCTGCCCTGCATCGCGTTGGTAAGATAACTTGACAGCAATCGGCTTGGTCCCTTTGCTGGAGCATGATCAATTTGGAAATTCAACCAGGGCAGTGGCCCTGAAGCACCAGCAATTCAGTCCACCCACGGCTTGCAGGGCATGGAACCCTCTGAGTGCATGATTTCATGTTCTGATTGGGTTTCCTTGCTGTGCGTCCGCTGTATCAGCGATGGCTAAAGATATTGTGCTCGCTTCGAAGGGTAATTGAAAGGAGCACCATTCATTGTCATACATTATCATAGGGAGGGGGGACAAACAGAGGATTGCCCACCTTGCACTGTGGACACTTCGATGGGGATGGTCTCCCCAGTGGTGCTGGTCTATGTTGTGATTGGCTGTTTTGTGAATCTTACCATTTGTCTGCCCTGGACGTTTTACCTTCGTGGTTTGTGCTTGAGATCGACAAGGAGCTGAGAGGAAAAGGGAAAGAAAGAAAAAAGGAGAAGGACATATGATGTAACACATGAACTATGCAACGTTCGCAAGTTGCAGATGCGACAATGGAACTGAAATCCTATCGCATTTTACATGCAAGATTTTTGCAAAGCACTGCAGACGTTAACGATGCCTTGGTGGGCAGCTGACGCAGCCTTTCAAATGTGTGCCTCCTGAAGAATTGAGGAATTGAAGAATGAGAAGATGAAGAATGTGTACATTTATTGAGCATGCATCCCTGTAGAGAATGGGGATCCTGTCTAGCTCATTTGCACTGCAAAACAGGCAGCAAATTGGGAACATAGCCAGTTGATGAGGCTGTTGTGTGGTGGCAATACAGCTGATGATAAGGAGGTGGGATCCACAGCTCAGTCGTGACATCCTGGCGCACTGGCTGGATTTGATGAACTCTGTAGGATGGATACCACGGTGAGGTAACTTCTGGTTACTGAACTGTTGTGCATGGTGAACAGTGGTGACAAGTGCTTGGTGTGTTATGGTACTGCAAGTAACTTCAAGTAGATGAATTCGGATGCATATCATGTGCACAATGTGCATGCATACGGCACACTTTGGATAATGTTGTGCTATATTATGGGCTGGCTGACATAGGGAGAGAAGCCATAACCGATACGCAATATGCCCCTTGAAACATTTTTTTCAGCCAGCATTGCACACTGTATTTGGCGTAGTATTCTTTTCCTGCCTGTTGTTTGTAGCTTGCCAGGCAAGAACAGTTGGTCAAGTTGCCATGGAGTCTAGCGCAAGATGGCAGGGTGAAAATTGTTGAGTGGTATGGCCCTTGCATTCTTTGGATTCTGGAACACCAGTTGTCAAGACATTTGATAAGGAATTCCATCCAGCAGTGCGAATCCTAAGGAAGCTGGGAGGAAATACGTCCATCACAGGTGGCCCGCACTCGTGCGATTACACAGCTTCTTGCTGAGAGTGTCACTTGCCCCAACCAGACATCTTATGGACACTATGAGTACACGCTGAAGTTGTTGGGGATGTGCTGTGGAGCCTTGTGCACTCTACAAACACCAAGTACAAAACACCAAGTAGCCCCCTGTCAATGTGCTGACAGCTTTAGCGCAATGCTGACAGTGTTGATATTGAATTCACAAGTCGCTTGGTCAGTGATCAGCATTGTGTCGTCGGAAAGGGAGCAGATCCTTGGAGAGGAGGCGCGAGCGCGTGTGCCAGATGAGTTTGTCGATCAGCAGCCCACCGTGGGCAATCCCCCTACGCTTTTTCTGCCTTTCCTGAAGATGGCCAAGGGTCTCACTGACCCAGGACAGCGGGCAAAGGAGCAGGCCGACAGGGAGTTCTTGAGCCAAGGTATGCAGGGTCCTGTCCTGAATGGGGAGTAGCTGCTGCAGTCCACAAGGGCTGGCAAGCTAAGAACCGTTGCACCAAAGGTTGCCATAATGTGCAGATGGTACCACTGCTTTGTTTGGCTCCTGGCTGTGGCAGTCTCTCTCATTGTGGAATGTAGCAATATGCCTCAGTAGTATGCTTACCAAGTGCCTGCAAATATATGCACCCAAACAAGATGGAACAGGTCCCTGCAGTGTGAAGGGGATTTCTGACATGCCCAAAGCCAGACATTTGTTTGTTCATAATTGTTCCATCTCTGCACCCCACAGAAATGTCAATGTGTCAGTGTGTCGTGGAACTGTCACTGGTCAGCAATGACAATCACTTGTGTGGCTCTATCAGTAGTTTTAGTTGCCAGGCACACTCTATCCAGAATCAGTCGGTGCCTTGCCCCATTCAGTATCCAGGGCGCGCCTTTTCCAAAGTCATTGTTTTGACCCAATGGTGTTTTCTGTTACCATGCAGCCTATCCTCGCCTATGCCATTGGTACGATTGGTTCCTCAGGAGTCAGGGAGGGCCCATCAAGGGCTCCTTCCGATGGACGGCCAGGGATGCAACTGTCACCAAGGAGCTGAATCCCAAAACTCTGGACTCTGGACTGGACGACTTCCCCCGTGCATCCCACCCCTCTTCCAAGGAACGGCACCTCGATCTGCGATGCTGGATGGTATGCGGCAACCACATCTGACTGGCTTGTGGGCCTTCGCATTTGTGGATGGCAATTGCACCTGTCAATTGCCAGCCACAAGAATGGGGGCTGAGAGTGTTGCACACTGCCGTAGCTCTGCTGCTGCGATGATATGAATGCACAGAAAACACTTCCACCTCCTGCTGTTATGTCTAGCATTCTGTGCCAGTATCTTTTTGTGGCCTGCTGCCAAGGCTGCTCTCTTCAGCCAGAGATGTTGTTGTCATCACTGCAATGCACAAAGGCTAAATCTTGTGCGCAGCTAACCAGCACTTGAAGTGTGCATGCGTTACATCACCAGTGTTCTGTTACACTGCTACATGGCAGGTGTGTCCTCGTCTCCAGCAATATGGTTTTGCACAGACTCATCAAAGCCTGCGTGCGATCAGTGTGGAAGCAAAGAATCATTGCTTGTGTAGGCATTGGCAGCGGAGGCGCTGGCAACGATCGGGGAAGCACTTGATATGCCACTGGAGTCCTACCAACATTACAGGGACATGTCCGAAGAGCTGCGCGACCTGCAGCTGCTGAATGCGCTGCATCTGGACACCAACACCAGCCAGTACCTGGACTTTGGCATGCACACTGACGATGTCCAGCTGGAGTGGGTGTGCTGCGAATACCATGGAGAAGAGAGGGGAATGGAGGTGGGGCTGCTTTCTCAACAAGAATGGGCAATCCTGTACACAAACCTGTGCTGACTATTGCACCGTATTTGGTTATCCTGCTGGTGAGGTGTGGAACTCGGTGAACTGGTGGAAGTTGCAGCAGAAGTTTGCAGCAGGTGGTGTGTGGCTCTGCTTGCACCCTTCTTTTAGGATTCGTTGGTGCGGAACATCGCTAACTCACAGAACTTGTCATAGTGGCGTACTGTGCTTCCTCCATCCCAAAATTTCGCCCTGCACGTGCACACAAACACATTTTTGTGCAATTTTTTACATTTTACTTTGAATGGAGGTTCAAGTGAACACTCCTGGGTACCTCACTATTGGCTTTTGCTCGTGTGGGGCAACTGCCCATCCTGCATGTGTCTGTATATGTGATGGACGGCGGCTTGTGCCTGCACATTGTCAGGTGGGATGTTCAAGTCGAAATCCTCCCCCAATTTTTACAAGCTTGCACAACTAATATAGCTGTTCCCAGCAACACAACTCCGTTTCATCTTTCAGTGGGCCCGATGACGCTTCACCAAACGCCGCTAACGCACTAAACGCCGTTTCAGGGGAGAAATGGTCGCTGAAGGACTGTAAAGTACCGAGCCTTGTGCCATACTTTCCAGCAATAGTGTTAATAGTTCGTGGTTTGTCTGCTCCAGTAGATGCTCACGTCGTGTGGTTGGCCCAGTCTCTCCCAGATTTACCGTCCCTGTAATTCGACGAAATACACCCACAGCCACAGGCTGTGCCTGAGTTGAGTTCACGATTGTGGAATGCCCAGAAAGGCCTGGCGCTGGCACTTGTTTAGGATGTGCTGCATGGTGCGGTGCAAATGTTGATGCTTTTGCGACTGTGGCCACCAGCGTTGGCACATGTCCTGTTCTCTCAGTGGGCGTGTGGGAGGCTCACCGCCGTCGCTCTTTGACATATTCACCAAATTGACGCTTTTTAATTGTCGTTTGATTGCGTTTGTCTCAACAACATGTGCCAGCTGCTGGACGAGGAAGAAAAGGCGGTCCGAATTGTAGGCAACTGAACGGCTAAAAATATCTGTTGACACATGCACTACCTCTATGGAAATGGCACCAAAACACCGTCAGCTACCTCCATTCGACGTGGAAAACCTTAAAATCCTGCCACCAATTGTTCCGCGTTTTTGTGCAAATGTGCTGACAATGTTGACACCGTGCGCGACGACCTCTGTTGCGCTCCGGCATCGCACAGACAGAACCATCGAACATTGCGCTGGGCGAGTTCTCCCCTGCCGCTATTCCCGCCATGCAGGGCAGCCAGCGCAACGTGCCACGCGCGTTTGCCCCTGCCGGAGGATTGTCCGATACCTACCATTGATATGAAGGCCATGAAGGGGTCATGAAGGTCATGAAGGGCACTAGGGACCTAATGCCTAAAAATCTGAAACAACCTCAACCCGAGAGTGGCCTTCATGACTTCATGACCTTCGTGACACCCATGACTTCCATCATGGCGTCATGACTTGTGCCCCAGCGACCCCTCTGACGCACATCTCCCATCCTACATGACAGAAATACCTGGCACGCAAGGAGTACAGCAGCCCAGAGCCGCGGCTGGTGCCCCACTTCGGCTACCCCTCCCTCTTCCCCCTCTTCCTGCACCTCTTCGACGCCGGCGACCCCATGCTATCCACCCAGATCGACCTCCTGCGCAACCCGGACCTCCTGTGGTCGGACCACGGCCTCCGGTCGCTCGCGAAAACCAGCCCCTTCTACGGGCAGAAGAACACGCCGGACGACCCGCCCTACTGGCGGGGGGCAGTGTGGATAAACATGAACTTCCTTGCGCTGAGGTCGCTGCACCACTACGGCCAGCTGGAGGGCCCCTACAAGGCCAAGGCCAGGGAGGCATACGCCGAGCTCAAGCGCAACGTGCTGCAGACGGTGGTCGGGGAGTACCTGAAGTCGGGGTACATTTGGGAGCAGTACGACGACGTGACGGGCTACGGGAAGGGGTGCCACCCCTTCACCGGCTGGTCGGCGCTGTTCATCCTGATCGGCAGGGACGCTTACTGATCGCCTTGCTGACCGCTGACTGATTTACTGATCGCCAGTCGTGCTTCGGTGGGGGTGTTCGCGGACGTCGTTGTGCGGACGACATTTCGACGCAAATTAGGGCGACTGCTGTGCGGCAGTGCGACTGCTAAGAGTGCCTGTTTGTCGGTGGTGCTGTCGTCGGGTCCCAGAGACTGTGTTCGAGTGCTGCGGAATTGTTCGCCTGGCTGTTGGATTCGGTTTTTGGATAACCCTGCTGCTAGGCTGGCTTTGTGCGTCCACTGGTGTGAGGTGTGGACAAATTGTAGGCAGAGGATTGGATGGGAGTGATACGGAAACGCATACAAAAGGAACGGCGGGGTGTCTGACGCCGGTGCTGCGACACGGGGATCCAGCCTGTCCAGAGAATGCCCTGGCGAACCCATTTTTTGAGTTTTGATTGGTTTCCCTAACATCTTCCACCGTTCCAACAAGGGCCGCACTTTGCACTGAGACGTATGTGCACCGAAACGCACGCAACAATAGAAATCGCCAGCAGCTCAGCACCATGGTGTGGTGATGCGGCAGAGTCCGTTTCATGCTGACAACAGGGACCAGATTCCTGCCGACAAAAGTGTTCGCATCTATGTCACCAAGTTCTTTCGTTGTCGCAGCAGCTGTTGCGCAAATCCGCGCAGTGAACTGGTTTGTGCGGTTTGGGTATTGTGCTGGAACAAGCCCTTGCACGTCTTGAGCCGCTTGCTTGGCGCCGGAGCCCGCGGGGGCCCAGCGTTGTTGTTGGCACTGCTGATTGTCACTGACGTTCCATGACCAAGAATGCCGAGCAAATTGATTGCTAAAATTGCCTGCTGATTCGTCAAGCAGGTCGAACTGTGGCCATCCCACACTCCAACACAAACAGAGTTCACTCAATCCGTGCACCCACCGTCCCTGGCATCCACCCTCCTCTCACCATCACGTTCAAAACTCAGACCCCCTTTCAAATAGCTCTGGCGACCTATGCTAAAGTGCCTTACACCTGCTTCCAGCCATGTCTTTCAACCGGCAGGCTTCCCTCCCAGTAGTGTGAACAAACGTCGCAAAAGCAGCGAAGGGTAGGATTCTCTATTTGCCATCTTCTGGAGGCCGACTCTGCCCTTGCGCCAGGAGTGTTGCCACAAGGCTGCCAATTTGCCAACTGCCCCCTCCTTGAGATGGTCCGGCGGTGTCGATCTGTCTCTGGCAGTCATCATCATCATCATCATTATCTGTCTCTGGCAGTCAGCCCCCGCCATCAACAAGGCAACATTAATGGACCAGCAATTAACGCACCAAATATTGGACTGCACATCCGTTGACACGCCGAATATCTGGACCAACAATCCCGACCTCGACAATCGAGGGTGGGCTTAATCAGTGGGCAGCAGATGGGCTACAGTCACCGAACTTCGCTCTGGGCGCCCTCCGTCGCTGGCGGTATCGTCATCACCATCCTGTACCTCTGACTCCCGTCCCGGGGCAGGTAGGGGTACCACATGATGTAGTTCGTGCACCAGATGTTGTTGTAGATGTTGAACCCAAAGCCCGCAGAGGGGTCCGGCGGCCCCACGGGCGTCGGGAACGCGTTGGTGCCGCCCACCGTTACCAGGTTCGTGTCCAGTGACGCAACGGCCAGCCGCCTGCCCCGAGTGTACATAACTCCACCGTCGCTGCCGTGAACGTGCGTGCTGCCGTTCTTTACCACGTCCAGCACGCTCACTGGCTCCCCCAGCTTGGAGACGACCATCGAGTCGGGCGCCACGGCCTCCGGGCTGGGCCTGAAGAAGACGGACAGCGACTCGGGCAGCCGCGTGGTCGTCTTGTTGAAGACGGACACCGCGATGCCCAGGCGGACTTCCTCGTCCGGCCGGGAGCCGATCGGCACGCTGATTTCCAGCCCGACTTCCGCAGGGGCGCCGTAGTCGTGGACGAGGGAGTCTGGCATTCGCCCGCTGCAGCGGAGCACGCAAACGGCAGAGGAGCCGCTGCCCCGCTGGCCGACGGACCAGGCCCCCATGCGCGGGTACGCCTCCTGGTGGACGGACGCCCCGCCCAGGCCGGTCTTGTCGAAGTCCAGCCACGCCCACGAGGCGTCCTGTATGTAGAAGTACTCGGTCAGGAACGCGGCGAAGTCGTCCGAGGAGAACGACTGGTAGACGAACCGCCCCAGGGGGTGGTCCTCCCCAGCGTACTCCACGGGGACGGGCCCCCGGGCGTCCACCAGGCTCACTACGGACATGGTCTCTTCGTCGACCGCGACTCGAAATGCGCCGCACTCGACGACGGCCCGCCCCTGCCGCTTGCCATCAACCGCCGGCCTGCCGCCGGGCCTCAAGTCACGGAGTCCCCGCGCGACCTTCCGCCTGAGGGGGTGGTCGCGCAGCGCCTCCAGCGCGTACTTCAGCGCCCAGTCCCTCTGCTCCACCCAGGAAGCCACCATGTGGGTGGCGTTGGGCAGGCCGCGGCCCCCGTCGAAGGCGGCGTTGCTCCAGTGGTCGGTGTCGTTGAAGAACGTCTTGACGTCCTTGCCCCACGTGTGCTCCCCGTACTTCATCAGCAGGCGCGAGAAGTTCCGCACGCGGGGGTCGCCCAGGGAGCAGGCGCCCGTGCCCAGGCACGCCGCCCGCTGCCTCTGTACCTCCCGGAACTCGGCCGTCTTGAGCGGGTCGGAGGCCGCGCCGTGGATCCACGTGTCGCCTATCTCCCCCGTGAAGACGGGCAGCTGCGACTTGTGCATCTCCAGGCGCTCCACAAATTCGTCGTACCCGGACGCGACTATCCTCGCGTTGGGGAACAGGTCCTTTATAACGGCGTAGGTGGAGGTGACGTTTTCGATGCTAGGGGGGCCCGAGTTGTCCCCGCGTATGGCGAACGCCAGAGCGACGGGCAGCCCCGGGACGGCCACCACGCTGTCGATGCCGTCCTTGAGGACGTTGCCGTACCCGTGCGGGTGCCACATGGCAAGCACCTCCTCCCCCGTGCCCGGGTCCCTCCAGACGAACGCGGGGCCCACCGCCGGTGGCATGCTGGCCTTGTTCACGCCCACCGTGAGGGCCTGCACGCCATTCCTAGCCATGATTCGAATCGCGGATCGCGTGGTGCCAGGCACGTCACGCTGCGACATGGTCGTCTTCCTCCGCCGGCTCCACGCGTCGTCCAGCTCGTGCGTCATGGCGAAGCCGAAGTCGGCGAGCGACTCGTCGTACACCTCCAGCTGGGCGTTGAAGGGGAAGGCGTGCCATGTGACGTCCCCCCTGACGACCGCCTGGAGGAACGCGTCCCTGGCGGTCATGTTGGGGCAGTGCAGGCCCATGCCCGGCGGGCAGCTCAGGTACAGCGACACCAGGTAGGAGTGGGTGAGGAAGACGAGCCGCTCCTCGCCGCCCAGCGCCCGCAGCCTCGCGGACGTTCGGACGGCGTCGGGGAAGAATTGGTCGAAGTAGAGGTTGGTGATGTTGGCGGCGCTGTCCTTGAAGCCGACGTCCAGGTGGCAGGAGGACACCAGGTACACCGTCTCCACGGCGGCCCGCTGCTCGTCCGTCAGGTCGCCGGGGGGAGGACGCCCCGCCGCTGCCGAGCGGCCCCAGAGGGCGGTGAGGCAGAGGAGGAGCGCCAGCGCTGGCCACTCCAGTCGATGTGATCCATGCATGGATGCGAGGCCCGTCGCCGGGCACGGCGGAGACCGGGGAGCTGAACTCGGAGTCGCTCGGTCGGGCTCGGGCCCCAGGGATTTCCTAGACTGAAGCATTAGAAAGTCGTTGTTTGCATGACAGAAATTTTCGTCTCGGGAGAGGAAGGTAGTTCTGAACGCACTGGCAGTCACAGGCTGCGACTCGCAGGCACCAAATTGCCAGAGTATGAATTTTTGCCTGTGCGTTTGTGATGGCACAATGCTGTGGTGGCGCACCAGCAATCGTGTAAGCGTGTGCACAAATCGTACACGTAAATCGCAGGGTTGGGGTATCTGCGGGCCAGTGCGCTACACCATCCTTGCGTACAAACTCAGCACTTCCGTTGCGCCGCTCCCCAATTTCAGGCAGTGAAGACTGCATAAAGACGCCTGGTAAGGAGCAACCTAATGCATGAACGACGCCGATTGGTAGATGATTGTTTCCCTACAGCTCGTTTTATGGCTGTCCAAACGCTGTTGTGGCACTGAAAGAGGCACAATCTAAGGTGGCCCTTGTGGGAGAACTGTGAACTGGCGTACAGAGTTCCAGCAAAATTACGGCAAAGAACACGATTTCAACAACACGATTTGTTCCCCTAAATTGACTTTAGATCGTGTGAAGCACAAGTTGTCCACTGTCTCGTTCGGATCGCGCATTCAAGTGGCATTTTGTTGGCCAGTTTAGCTTTCGTGTGAACCACTCTTGCATACGGCCCCTTGAAGTCAATTGAACTGGCTGCTGGAGGACGCTGCTGGGTGCCCAACGAGAATTGGCGCCCTTTGTGCGTCGCCCAGGAGGATCTTTGCCAACAGCGAATCGATCACGCTTCGGTTCTCATCAAAGGTGTTTCCAGCCCTTTGCCGCTGTCTCTGACTTGCAGACTGCAGCAAGGCGGGGGCCTCCCCCAAACATTCAATTCACTGGTACACTGCCGATGCGAACGGGAGCAGATTGGGCTTGAGTTGCCAGCCGACCGGCCAGCGCGTGCGGGGGGGCACAGCCTGGCGGCGATGTCATCGCTGCGCCAACATGCTCAGAAGTGAACCGACAACTAACGAATCAACCGAATCAACTACGGCAACCACCTACGGTACGCATGTAAGAACGCCCTGTGTTGGCCATGGGAGGAGACCGGCCCCGTTGATGGGACTCCAATGCTTTGCCCCTCCCTGCTCCCAGCCACCGCCGCCGGTGCTGCCCGCGCGAACGGAGCCCTTTCGCGCACCCCAGCCCCTCCCGGGCGCCTCCCGCTCCCGCTGCTCCCCCAGGCGCGCGAGCATCTTCGCGATGGCGCCCCACACCGTCCGCATCCGGATGACGTGCGGGACGGCGATGTCGGCCCGGGGCAGCCACATGCCGACGAGCCTCCGACCGGCCACGCCGTCCGCCCGCGAAGGGCGCCCATCGACACACCCCGCCGAGGCGCTTCTCGCGCTCCGGTCGAAGCTCGTCGCGCAAATCAGCAGCCAACTCCGAGGGGGGGCGAGGCACACTCCGCACTTTTGTCCAGCCATCGAGCCGCACCTGCAACGGATGCTCGCTGCTCCTCAGCGGATGAGCAAGAAGAAAGTCCGGCGGTCCTATCCAGCCTCCTCTTGCGCGGGCACTCCGGCTGTGCCGGTCCAGAGAAAAGGAGAAAAAGCAGTCGGTTGCGCGGTGTAGCCACCGGGGTTACTTGCCGAAGGGATATCCCCGTCTCCGGTGCCGACTGTGCAGCTCTCCGGCTGACGGCGTGCTGACGCTGCAGCCAGGCATCCGCCTTTGTCAAAAACGTGACTGTTGCCCTTTCAGAACACCGCACAGGGCCCCCTCCCCGCCGTCCAGTGTAAAGCCGTTGGAGCGCCCCGCTCCAACCACGGCCCCGGCGCTTTCACCGAGTGAACCAGCGCGCCTTTCCGGTGTATAAACGCCCGCTGGCTCCCCCCTGGCTGCAGTCTGGTCGCAGCCGTTTGCCCAAAGCCTTTCTCATCCTCCCCAGCGGCCAGGTCCCTGTGGTCCAGCCGGGTGTCCACGGCCTTGGCCGGTCGCCGCACCCTGCAGTCGACCCGGATATCGACGTCACGATCTCCTTCGGGCGAGATCTGCGCCTAATCGCCGCGCGTGCCTCGCCGTGCCCGTCGCCATGTCGTGGACGGAGTCCTGCAGGTGGGCGCCGCTGCACCGCGCGCCCCGCCTGTTGCGTGCAGACATCCCTTCGGCCTCTTCCACGGTGCAGAAGAGGGCCTCGCGGAAGTGCTTGCACCCGGGAAGCGCCAATTGCACGACATGCTCCCATTTTTAAACCAAGCTGCCTGACAATCCTCCGACGCACCCCGGCTGGTGCTCCCGTAGTTTCCTGCGGCGCTTTCCTGCGGCGCAGAAAAAGGCCTCGCAGAGGTCCTTGCTCGAAACTACCGCCAGCTGCACGACATGCTCCCAGTGTTTGAGCCAGAATGTCTGACAATCCTTCGATGTCCCAGGTCTGGCGCCCTGTGGACGGGGCTGGCGATCATCGCCGTGGCGTACGTGTGCATGTCGCGGCCCCGGCGACGGCGCACTGCCGCTGCCAGCGCCGATTTCGGGTCTTTCCTGAAGCAGCGCCCGAGATCTGCGGCCCCTACCGAATTCGGGGCGTTTCTGAAGGACGGCGGGGTGGGTCCAATGTGGGCGCCAATCCCACCAGCGCGCCATTTTCGCTCCCCTCGCAGCCTTGTGCGTGTTTGCAGATTCTGTACTGTAATCAGTACTCAGAAACAAACTTGGGGGAACACTCCACATCATTCAAAGCAGTCTCGTGCACATTTGAAGATTCTGTACTGTAATCAGTACTCAGAATCAAACTTCGAACAACACCCTCATAGCAGTCTTGCAAACACCCCTGTTATTGAGCGGGGTGCATATACACATGACAAGTTTCCTCTGTTGTAAAGACAGTGTTGGGCGATCCGGGGGTTGATGATGGTGAGCGCGAGGAGATGGAGGAGGCAGCGCCGGAAGGGGCGGTCCGGGTGGCGGTGCTATTCGGGACGGAGTATGGGTTCTCCAAAGAGATTGCGGAGACGCTGGGGGCCCGATTGAAGGGGACGGGGGCCTACTGGTAAGATTGTTGCAATACAGGATAACAAGGTGTGAATTCCACTTATTGTCGACTGATAAGAACCCACGGGGAAGAGATCATCTGTCTTGATTTTTTTTTCAGTCAATCGTGTTGCATCGCGCTTAAGGATTGAGGCAAATCCGCACGATTTCCGATTGGCACAGCATGGTGCACACTGCCCTGGGGGCTGCAAGGCGATAAAGGGCACAGTTGCTTCTGCATTGCTTGATCGAGAGTCTGCCCAGGAGCCAGGCAGTGTGAGGGTTTTGGCAGGGTTCAATGTACAGTGGTTTACTTATTGAGTTTCCAACATGAGCAAGTTGTTGTGGTCATGGAGCAGTCAGCACTGTGGGATTCAGTGGTCTCATGTGCTGGCTGGGGTGTTAGTTGTGTCCCTGTCTCCAGAGTAGGCCATGGAGCTAGTTTTCAAGGAGTTTGGTCTGTGAATCCTTACCGGATACAAACAAACCAGTCTTCTCCCACTCTCAGAAATTTCGGAACGCAGACAAGGAACTTGCAACAGATGACCAGCATTTCACACCACTTGGGGGCATGACCAGTGGAAGGCTGTTTCATCCAGCCATTCACAAATTAAGAAGCTCTCCCATGAGACAGTCGCTTAGTACATACTGACCCGTTGGCTTGCAATCCTTGCAAAACCATGTTAGCCACCCTCCTGGATGAAGCGTGGCTTCCAGATGTATGGAATGTGGGCCAAAGTCCTGTATTTGGTGCTGTATGCCATATTGATTTGCAGGCAACAATGGTACAGCCATACAGAACAACAAGTTGTCCACCAGAAGAGAGCTGGGAAATTTGTTCCCGTGCAATCTTGCATTTAAACAGGGCTCATTTCCCAGTTTTGGCTCTTGCAACTGTCACTGGCATCTTTTGACATACAGGTAAAACGATGTTCATGAGCTATCGTGATCATGAGCACTGTCACAGTGCGCACTTGTCATAACACGCCACTGCAAAAGTTCTTCATGAGCGATGACATAATAGCTTTCCTTTGTTGTGCTTAGTTGTAGAGTCTGCCAATCGTCAATGGAACTGGAAGATCTGTTGCAATCTTGCTTGACACACTGGGAAATACATGGATGGTGATGCTCACTCCTGTGTGTACTGTTTGTTTTTTTCATTCCTTTGACAACGATTGTCTCTTAGTGACAAAACCCTCTGCACTCAGCTTCAAAGCAACTGCAGACAACTTCTGTGCACCGTTTTGAAGGACATGCTGTCCCATAAGTCCACAACTGTGCACCATACTGCCATTACCAGAAGATCATCGTTGAAACCCCTTTACCCCCAATAGATTCCAGGGCCTCTGGAACCACTGGCAACAACGCAGCAGGCCCTGAAGCCACGCCTTCTAACTTCATGCTCTCATTCCTCAAAACTGCTTTGAATGCAGGCCTGCCGTGGCTGACATGGCAGACTTCCCTGAGGGATATCCATTGAACAGCGAGCAAGTTGTGCTGGTGGTCTGCTCCACACAGGTGATCTTGTGGATTCTGGAAATAGGGTCTGTGGCATGTGTTGAGCAAAGTCCTTCCACCATGCCTGATCATGACGGGTTCATAGAGCCACAGTTGGATTTCTAATTTCTTTCAGTTCTTGCTTTCCCAAGGGATCTGATACGGAGTAATAGTGCAACTTGCCACACAAACAGAACTGGGAAAGTAATGGAAGTGGTGACTGTGGGCATCTCAAGCATATGAGCTGCTGAGAATAGAAATGCTAAGGTCCATGTATATGGAATGGGGCAAAGTGACTGAGCGGTGGCTGTGGGGCAGCTATCAGTGTCTTGCCGTGTGCATGATGCTGGGTAACGCATGAATAGCTTGATGTTGGCAGGGAGTCGGTTCCAAGAATATCCAATTTGGCAGCACTGATTGTCACATGGCAGCCAATGCCCCAGAACCTGATTGGTGTCTAGGGCAGTTTTATCCTGCCCAACTGTGTCTTCCTGAGCTTTTTAGAATTCCCAACTCGTGTGGAAATAGCGCTAGTGAAATGTATGGCCATATGCAATTCCACTGCAAATCAAAAGTCCACATATGCCTTCAAACTGGTGTTATTGTTGCAGACAGTGCATTGTAAGCATTTGCCTCTTCCAGACTGTTTGAGAAGTTTCGGAAAATGTAGGCAGGATGCCTACCTGCGCCACACAGCATAGGCCCCTACATGTTGTTGGACTCTAAGTTTGTCTGTTGTTCGTGCTAATGGTATTTCAAAAGTGCTGTCAAGGGGCACATGGCGTCACAACACCCAGTGTGGCAAACTTGGCTGAATTTTGCGCTCCAAGGTCTTGCCACAATGGCAAACTTTTCCGCATCTGGACCATGCTGTATGATCGAGAGTCGAGGTTTGCCGCAGGGTGATGGTGTGCCACCACCTGAGGCTCGAGACTTCTGTGATTGGCTGTTTGGAGGTGGAGCGGGCGACTTGTCAGGTTTGCACTTTTCAGTGTGTGCCCTGGGGGACAGGTGAGGTGCACAGATGGGAGAGGGCAGAATCTACAATGTCCACTGCTCTGCTCTGGTACAGTAACCCAGGACAAAGGCATGTGGAAGAGCTGGGGATGTTGCCTTCTCCCAATGACAGTGCATACAAGGTTCCTCACGGGGTGCTTGGTGTGAGACATCATGCTCATTTGTGGGATTGGACGAAAAAGTACAGAAAAGGGACATTGGAGTTAGATACTTGTTATACCACCAGCACGGAACCAATAGGGAGCACTACCAAAGTGTGCTTTGAGTACATTTGTTGAAATAGAGCCATGGCCTTGTCCACAGTAGCAGATGCCTATTTGACTTGCATTGGGCGTGTGTTGACTTGGTTTCTTGCAGCTCTTACCCTCACTACTGCCAGTGCGGGAAGAAGGTGGATGCAGCTCTTGGGAGCGGCACTGGCCAGCGTTTAGTTCCACGACACGATGTAGACCGAGAGGACTGGACCACTGTAAACAGCTGGATCGACAACATATTGGAAGCCCTTCCAACACTATCACTGCTCACGATCGCTGAGCAAGGAGGTGAGCAAAGGGCACTAAATGTGCTACACTCTGCAAACAAAAGAACTGTTAACCCTTAACATCTGAGGAATGGTTGACTTGCAATCATCGCTGGGAATCCAACCAGCTATGCCCTCCCATCTGCTTAGACTGCCCATCCCTCTTCCAGCTCCATAGCATTCTCACGTACTTACACATGCCAGCTCATGCTTGGGCCCTTTCAGCGCATACAGTACAGTGCAGTACTGGTGTACTGAACTGCAGTGCTTTCTCACTGCTTGTGGGGGAACTACTTTCATGGAGGGCATGCCACGTGTTGAGCCTCAGCCCTTGCCTTTGATGTGGGAGGGGCTGTGATCGTCCTGTTGTGTATCTAGTTTTCTTGGATTCTAGCCTGCCGTTGCCTCCATGAGTGTCCAGGAAAATTCACCCTTCTACCTTACAAAGATCTTATTTATAATGTCAGATGTTTGGGATATGCCAGATATTTCGCCACCTTAGTTTTTGAGGCAAGGATTCCAACCTTTACAGAAGGCACCAGCAGCAAGCCACTGTGGAACAGTTGGGTTGTAGATTTCCAATACTGAAACCAGAACTGACGAAGTAAATCATGGCAAGCCAGAGCTGCCTGTTGAGCGCAAATGACCCACAAAATAGGTGATTTGGTCATGCTAGAGGGTGTTGATTCTGCCCTGGAGGAACTGTGCTTGTTGCCTGAGCCTTCCCATTCACAGCTGTCACCTGCTCTTGGACTATCATTTTGATGGCTTTTGGACAGTTACGATGTTTATATCATCTATTATTTTAAGCTTGTACACATATGCATGCCACCACCACTGTACTGGCTGCACTGCAGACATTTGCTTATGAACCCACTTGATTATTCAGTTTGTCACTGTTGGCCCCAGCAGGTACAGTCCCTAACTGTGGTGCCAAGAAGGCCACTAGGGCACGGTGGAGCAAGAATCGACCCTTCCATGCAAAGGTCCTGGAGATCAAGGGCCTCTGCAATGTGACCAGTCAGGGGGACAAGAACACTGTGTGCGCCATCCTGGATCTGGCTGACTCTGGTCTAGAGTATGTGCCAGGCGATGCGCTTGGCATCTACCCCACAAACTCGCCAAAGGTGGGGGCATGATGGGTAAATGTGCATTCATGAAGTTAATCAAATATGAGGATTCACCACCCTAGCGCCTGATAGGCGAAAATTAGCTGCAAGCTGTAGATCGCTCCTTGTGAATAATGCTGACTGCTGCGTTGCTCAGTTCATGCTGCCGAACTGTGAAGAAGTTCGCCCCTTGCTGGTGCCATCACTTAAACTCTGTCCTACCACAGTCTATAGCTGGCATGAGTGGGCTTGGGTGTGCACACCTGATGTGCTGCACCACAGGCTCTGTCTGGTCTCCATCTGTTGTCAAAATGCCTTTGGCAATGGGAAGCTTCATGCCATGGCTGCATTGGCATGCTTACTCCTCTGTGGTGTGCCACTACCCTGGCCACATTGAGTTGGAGGGCGCTCAGGGCTCAGAAGTGTGCAGATGTGCTGCAATGGAAGGAACAGAATCGTCCCATACAGGCTAGCGCCTGTGCCTCCTGGCAAAAAGCATTGTGGGAATCGACACAATGGCCACGGCTTGTGCCTTTACTGAACTCAGTGACCATGCAGCATCAGTTCAGTTGCTGTCTTCAACGGATGTGCCATCCCTGTCAAAGAACGCCAAAGCTAAGTGTCATCAGAGCAGGCGAAGTGCAAAGGCCTTTTCAACTGTGCCTTTTGGCATCCTATCCAGTCGAAAACGTGTTGAATACCTTGCATTGTGTTGCCGTGGGGTGGAATGTCAGCACAGGCATGTTCTGTGGGGATGTGCGTTTCGATCATTTTCTAAGACCGGAAAGCAGGTCCTTCGAGAGAGGCTTCTTATGTACATGGCCATTTCTTCTTGATGGAGGCACCATGGCCCTTGTATATGGCACCAGTGCAACAATGAAAAGACAAGACTCAACAATGAGCATAAATAGGGCAACTTAAAACGCACTTTATGCAGGGTGAATGCTCGTGTACACATTGTGTGACTACTGGAAATGGTGTGTGCACAGCTCACTGCATTTTGGACCAGCACCAAATTGACCTATATCAATACTAACAATGGGATTACAGTGCTAACTTGATGCACTACTGATAGCAACGACACCCATTAGGTCATTTCACCTGTGGGCGGCACAGAACCACTGACAACGAATGCGACAAAGTGGGCTCAAGATTAGTGCTTAGCATAGAGCCTCATGCCTGCCTTGCACCAAAGGTTGTCTCATTCAAGTAATGGCTTTTTAAATGAAAGTAGAATCAGATTTCAATTTATCGATTGATTATTACTTTATTGATCGTAGCTGGCAATTAATGCGACAGACCAATTGTGTACTATCTACTAGCAGTTAAACAGGCGTTTTGACACCATGCTGTGGCCGCCCTTCAGCATGTCGAGGAGCTTTTGAGCGTGCTCAGGGCGGACGGTGGCCTGAGTGTGGCTCCGCCGCAGTGGCATTATGACGGCGATGTCTTCGAAGATGAAATGGAGCTTCGAGAGGTCCTCTTGCATTGCTGTGACCTTCGGTGAGCGCCCCGCTTGTGAGTACCCTTTCCTCGTTGGCTAGAACTGAAAGGGAGCTCTGGACTGGATCTGTGCAATGCCTGAGCACCCTTGCGTGCATTTTGATTTTTTGATACCTCACGTAGCAGCAGCTTTGCAATGCATTCAGTTGCATGCATATTTGTAATCCATGAGTGACTGCGCATCTGCATGGTGCCCTTCTGTAGAGTGCAGGATACGATCATGCCAGTGATGTACATTGCGTTTGGTGCAACACCCTCGCAGCAAAATACGCGACCCAGTCCAGCGCAGATCAATGGTCTCGATGGGTACTGCTTCCTTTCCATTCTACCTGTGCAGAGTGGACTACAAATAACTGCACTGGAAATCTCTTCAAGCGTACAGGCTGATTCCAGTGGTGCTATGACGTTCATGACATTCATGCATGCATTCCAAGCACACAATATTGCTTGTATTGCAGTCCACCAGCAGTGCATCGCATTTTGTGACATGCCTTGAACCTCTATATAAGCGGTATGGCTGCAGCACTGTGCCACATTTCGGAGTGCACCATTGCACAGGCATCTGTGCATGAATGCAAATCACGAATGCTCATGCATGCGTGTGCGCAAATGCACATGCATGGCAAGTTCGACCGGCGGCTAGTGACGTCCTGCCACTTTCTGTTGGCAAGGTCCCCAAAGCCAGACCTGTTTTCTCTGTTGCTGGATTGCCTGCCGCCGGAGATGCGCCACACTGCAAAGGTAGCTCGGAGCGCGGGCCAGGGGGAGAGGGCCAAGATTTTGAACGGCTGGCGAAAGGACACATCGGCAGCCTTCAACGCGCATTGCAACGGGACCTCAACCAACGGTCTTTCAAGTGCTGGGAGCGACTGCGCAGTGAAAGAGGTGAGCAGAGAGTTGTTTGCTGGTGATGAGAGCAGCTTGTCAAAGAAATGGGCACCCACCCCTTCGTGAGCAAAAAGGAAATGACACTCTTTACACAGCACAGCATGCATCGCTGGTAGCATCAAAAGGAGATGAGGACATGGGTTCTGCTCCGAAGGCCATTGTAGTGATGTGTACCGCACTTTTTGCATTGACAATGCGGCAAACATTCGCAACAAGGAGGTAGCTGTTCGCACATGGCCTCCTGTATACCTTTGGTTCCCGGTCTGCACCGGTCCGTTGCAAAGTCCAGACGATGCCAAGTCAGTAACAGCAACTGCTCCATGCTCTCAATGAGCAAGCCTTCTCCGCCTCTGGCTGTTTTGGCTGCTAACATGCAGGCGCTGTATTTCTAGGCTCAGAATATGCCTGTACAGGCTCAATCTGCAATAGTGGGAATGCTTTCCCACTGCTCCTTTCGATTGTGTAGACGTTCATTATTCCTCCTTTATGTTGTGCCTACTTTTGCATGGTTGATGCAATCAAGTGCAATCGATACACTCGAAGACACTGAGTTTCCGAGCTTCTTGAAATCCAAGCACATCCGCATGAACTGGCGCCTGCTGCTACGTGTGACTTTGTCTGTTGGTCTGTGGTAATGAAGCTCAGGAGGCGCTGTGTGCTGGTCGCTTTCCTGCAGGCTCTTTTGTTGAAGGCACTGGCCGAGGATGTGAAAGCGAGGGAGGCGTACCTGGAAGTGAGGCATGTTGTGGACGTGCTTGAGGACTTCCCATCAGCAAAACCGACAGTGCAACAGGTGGGCAGGGAACGAAGACGCTGCATGCACACACAGTCGCAGGAACAAGCGTTTGCTGGTTCCATTTTGGCCCTGCACTCCTCTAGACAAGCTGCACGATTACGAACGTCCAGAACATCGAAAAGTGAAGCTGCACACATTCAAAATCCGGAATAAATCATTCATTAGTGAAATTGCCACCAACAATGTGGCTTCTAGACAAAGAGATTAGGTTCATTTGCGTTCGTTACGAATATGCTATTCTCAGCACTTTGCACAATTTAAAACAGGAGTCGAATGGTAAATCGTCAATTTGCCGGTGTTCTGGAACAAAGTTTGGATCCAACGCCAAGCACCCGCACAGACGCAGACAGTACGTGTGTTTGAAAACCCATCGGTCTTGTGCGAGAATGTGGACCGTCACCCCGTTTTGCATGCACATCGGTCGCTACATGGTCACAGTACGACCTCATCCGGTTGCTGTCCACTCACGCGCATGCGTCTCGAGTGTGAAATTTGCCCACCTTACGTGATTCCCACATCTGAGTGAGTGGACGTAAACAAATGTCTTGCAGCAACCGGCGCAGATCTTGCACGTTTGGAAATACGCGCAAGGTCGCCTTGAAGGTGCAACGGGCTGTGGTGTGCCGCATTTTGACATGTGTAAGCGCATTTGGAGGTCGTTGTGGTTTAACCGCGTGGCTATGGCGTTTTCTCTCTGATCGTGGTCATTGCCATGGTTCGTGGGACTATGCAGAATCAATAACATAAATGCGCCTGCAAAGGTAAATTTCCTGATGATGATCAAGGCGATGACAGCGTTTTGCGCGTTGAACGCAGGTCATCAGTTGCCTGCGCCCCCTGCAGCCCAGACTGTACTCGATCTCCACGTCCCCCTGTGAGTGCCCAACGCAGGTCGGCATCACTGTCGCGGAGGTGCGGTATGCGACTCTGGGAAAGGCCCGCATTGGCGTGGCATCGACGTACGTGTCAGAGCGCCTGGAGGTGAGCAAGCGGACCGTATTTGGGGGGTTGGCTGTGGTGCGCCGAAGTTGACTGAAGAGTGATTGTGCTTCGAACCATCGCGTTGTGTTCAAAAAAATGCGGTGGCGAGCAAGGTGTTGATTGAAGGCAAGCATTGACAAATTGCACCCAGACGCAGTTGTTGCTGAGGTAGTTGCTCAGACACAAGTGATGGTTGCCATGTGTGTAGCTCCCTTCACAGCTTCATCCAATGTGAGGAAGTGTGGATGTGTACGTCGGCAACGTTTTTTTCCTGACGGTCATGCGCTGGTAACGAATGGGACCAATACACGGTTGGGTTTTCAGGATCTGTTCCCGTTTGTTGCTCATAAAATGACCATGGGGCAGTATAACCATGCAGCAACTGGACAATGCGCAGCTAAGAACAGGGGGATGGGCTCCATTAGCTTGCTCTGCCAATTTCTAGTTTTGGGGACAGAAACAGTGGTCCTTTGCTGAGGAAATGGTCAGAAAGATGTCGACAATCAGCAGGGGCGCGGTTTTCCGTGGTCTAAAGTAACCTGGCAAGAGTTACTTCGGTTTGATACCAGGATATTGGCCACTGATTAGCGCTAGTTGTCAGGTTTATGGAGTGATCACCGTCCTCATTGAGTAGTCACTGAATGCGCGGAGTCCGTGGGCTGTTCTTGCCCAATATCCTGAGAGGCATGTGCGCAGAGGTTTGATAGCGGCCGAATGGAGCGGCAGCTTAATTGTCACGCTGATCAGCCGAGCCGCAATTCTGTTTTGCAGGTGGGCGCCTGTGTGCCCGTGTATGTCTCCCGCAACCCCGACTTCCGGCTGCCGCCAGACGTCTCTACGCCCATCATCATGGTTGGACCAGGCACGGGGATTGCGCCGTTCCGGGCCTTCATCCTGCAGAGGCTGCGGGCGGCCCATGCAGAGGGGCAACCACAGGGTCGCTGTGTCCTGTACTTTGGATGCCGCCGTAGAGACCAGGACTTCCTGTACAGGGACGCTTTGGAGGCGTGGGCTGCTCAAGGAGACATCACGCTGCACACAGCCTTTTCCAGGGAACAGGTGACACTGTCGAGTGTGTGGATGTGGCTTGATATTACGATACCTGTGTCTTTTTCCATCGACTGCAGCCATTGGTGGCAAAGTTTTTCACAGGGAAGCGGCATGACTGTTCCGTTATGTCGCATGGAAAATTGGTCATTGAAATATGGTCACGCGTTGCGCAACGCAACTTGCTTTGCGTCTGGTAAATGTAGCAAATGGAAGTGCTGTACACAATCAGACATTGCGCACGATAGATTGCACGGATTCAGCGATCCTAAGCGGTTTGAACGCGGAGGGCTGCGTGTAAGGTCTGTGCCACTTTTAGGCAGTGCATCGGATTCAACCATATGCTGGCTTTAACGAAAGATGCTGACCTCAGGCTGGAGGATCAGTTTTACGGATTTCGGTGTGCTGGATGGATATCCGATGACGACCTCCCCAGCCTCAGTTGAAATGCTGATATTTGATTTGACGAACTTCTTTTCGCCAAATGCACAGAATATCCGCAATGGCCTTGCACTTTGCAACTGAAGCTGTGTGCTCTGTGCTGGTCTCTCTGCCTTCATTTTAGTTTTTCTTGCGATTACTTTTCGCATTGACTGCATAGCTTCCAATCTACTCCGCATTGTATTCCCTGTTTTGTATTCCCTGTCCTCGAGTAAAAAGACCGCCAAAGGGACGATGACGACCAGACTTGCTTGCCCACTTTCACCGCGCAGCGGAACTACAAACGCTACTGACGTGTTGCCAATAATTGCAATTCACGATTGGCGGGAATTTACCGCCATCCAAGCACATATCTAGATTGATCTAAATGGCCAATTTCTGCCGGTGGTTGGCAACCCGCAGTCCCACAAGGTGTACGTACAACAACGGCTCAGAGAGACTGGCGAATCGGTGTGGGAGCTTCTGGAGGCCGGCGCCCATTTTTATGTGTGCGGCGACGCCAACTCGATGGCTGGCGAAGTCGAGCGGGCGCTGCTGGACATCGTCAAGGCCCACAGCCCCGGCGGTGGACCCCGCGCCTATCTGGATCGGCTCGCAGAAGAGGGTCGGTACCAGAGGGATGTCTGGTTCTAGGTCGATCTCTGCATCAGTTCCTGTGCAGATTTCTGCACAAGTTTCTGGCAGCAACCTAAGCAATTTTTTGGCTTGATTTGCGATTTCGGCTGTTGTTTGATGATTACCATCCGTCCGCCCCTTTGCGTTGGAAGGCAGGTGTGTCTAGGTTGCGTCCATTCGTTCGGGGCATGTCGATGGTGAGTGAGCCTCGCATGACCCCTCGGGTTTTGGGGCTGACGGCATTCTTTGAGCCGACCGGGCTGTGTGCCAGACTGGCAATTTGTACGGTGGTACGATAATTGTACCGGAACGTTGATGAGCATATGTCATTGTCATTAATGTAGCCATTGACGATTGACCGTGCAGCAAGCGGGGTCTGTTTGCACAACGGCACCTCAAGCGGAATGGCGCGCTGCGCCCACAGCACTGACGACGGAAGTTGTTGGACATAGCAGAATTTCAGACGTCTGGTGTGATGCATTTCAATGCGCAAGAAATGCACGCCGCGAACCACGGAACAAGCCCCACTCGAGCCAGGAAAGCGTCTTGATCAAAGGGGGTCGGTCGGTTCTGCATGAACATCTGTCAGAGTTGTGAAACAATTAATTAGTCATTATTTGTATCAATCATGAATTGATCAATACTGATTTGGGAGCAGAAGCTGTCAGCGATTGGCAAGTGCTCGTTTTGTTAGCAGTGCTGTTCGCGTCAAATAGTCGTAAATTTCCGACAGCGGATACTGGGCAGGACGCCATTGTGGTTTTAATTCGCCGGGCGTTCGACCAGCGCTGGGGGCCCCCTCCTTGTTTTGGTATCCGAGTAGTGCTATGTGAAAGCCAGAATGACAATACAACGGAATTTCTGTCACCATTGCTACATTTCGGGGGAATGCTCGAAAGTGCTGCACACCCAGCTCGAAAGTCGGCCCCCGTCGCAGCGCAGTGGCGCCCACTGCGCTGGCAAGCGCCCTCGAGGGCCCTCTGGGGCCCTCGAAGGTGCGCACAGCAAGACAGCATTTCTGCCTTACCGGTCTCCTGAGCCCACCCCGTCATGTACCCCCATGACAATAATTACAAACACCGTTAACTTTCACATTCCCGAGGTTCCCGTCCTTTAAACTTGCCCATTCGCTTCGCTAATACTTCAACGCCACTTCAGTGAGTGACTCCCCATGAGTCAACTCCCTCTCCCGCACTTCACTCCCTCAACTCCCTCGCCATCCCACAACTAACCCGAACTCCACTATCCAGGGCGGGAGGGCTGGGTGCGAAACAAGATAAGGAGGGGGACCGAGGGGCTGCCTAAATAGCCGCCCTCCGCCACCCCGCCAAAGCCCACCAAACTCGAGGGCGCCCTCGCGGGCGGCACCTCGGAATACCGTACTTTGACTGACCCACGGTACTAGGGGTAGCCAGAAATCCCAAGGGACGGGGTTGAGTAAACCCCAGGTTCAAACTGCACCGTTTGAATCGCCGGTGCAGCCCACCCAACGTCGCCCTTGGCAGAAACCCATTAACAGGATAGTTAACTTCATTTCTGCCTTACCGGTCTCCTGAGCCCACCCCGTCATGTACCCCATGACAATAATTACAAACAACCGTCAATCGTCACATTCCCGAGGTTCCCGTCCATTAAACTTGCCCAGTCACTCTAGGGAACGCGAGGCCCCTCCGGGGCAGAAGATGTGCCCAAACTGCTCATGCAGGTCGCGGGCGGTGATGGTCATCCAACCGAACAACCGAAAATCCCACTCAGTGGGTAAACGAAAAATATCTATGTACGACCACAACGAGTCTGACCGCCACCCACCCCAATCCCGAATACGCCGCTCCGCGACCTCCAAGGCGAAGCAGCTGGACGCGCCCCCACCGCGCAGGCCATGATGCGTGAAGGGCTCCTGGGCGAGGTCCGGAAAGTGCGCGAGAAGGGACGAGAACCAGGCGGCCACGGTCTTGGACGAAGGGGTGGCGTCGCCGGGAAGGCGGTAGAAATGGCGCGGCGGTTGATCCGTCTGCGCCCAGGCGTGATCGCGGAATTGCGTCTACCGGCGCAGCAGGGCGACGACTTCGGGGCGCCGCGAGAAGGCCATGAGCGGAAGCGCGACCGGGGCTCCTCCCCGGGGCGCAGCTTGGTCTTGCGCTCCTGGAAGACCACGACCTCCTCGTCGATGCGGACGTCGTCGACCAGAATGTAATGGCCCGACTGGGCCCGGTTGAAGAAAATGTAGGCAAGGTGGGCCGCGCACGCCGCCCGAAGGGTGGGCCCGTCCTCGGTGGTCAGGCCGACGTCCAAAATGCGGAGCATCAGAGAAATGGGGACCGGGCGGCGATGCTGCACCGGGGTCGGAGCCGCCCGTCGCCAAGCGTGGGTGAGGATGCGGGTGATCGGGTCGAAGGCGGAGAAGCCCAGATGACCCGCGATGTGGTGCATCATCGAAATGGCGGCCAGATACTAGGGCAGGGACCGCACGCCCACCTTGCCTTCCTCTCGAAGAAAACGGATATAGCGGTAGATGGAGGCGCGCCGGGCGGGGAGCGCGGCGAGGTCGTGCGCCTCGCAAAAACACTGAAAACGCGAGAACTTGGCCTGGAGAGTCCGCCGAGTGGCCTCCGTGTAGGACTGCAGGAACTGGTGCTCCATCCAGCAGCGATCGTCGCGGAGCAGGCCATCCAAGTCCGTGCCGTACAGCGGGTCATCCTCCGCCAGCGGCTCCAAAGGAACGACATCCCCCGGCTGGTCCCCCGGCGGAGAGGGCGGGGCCTCCGGCGGAATCACGCCTTCCTCCGATTCGGTCTCAGATGGCGCGGCGTCCTCTCGCGTGGGTAGACATGGAACGCCCGTAGATTCCACCGCGGGGGGGGAAGAGACGCCGGGAGACTCGGGTCGCCGGGGAGAAAGAGGTTGGCTTGGCGGGGAATCAACATCTCCGCCCGAGCGATTGCTCGGAGCGGGCGAAACCAAACCGTGCTCGGCCAGTCCGGCGCGAGAACCACCGCCTCCAGCTCCGGGCGCAAGGCGAGGAAGGACACGAGCCTCGCGAGGAGGCTCCACGGGGGATTGCACCAGGACCGGGTGCCGCTCCAATCCTGCTGGAAGGCATCCACTCTTGCCGTACCGACGTCCCAGTACTGACTGTTGAACTAGGCGCAAAGGGCATTCCGGGCGGACGCGAATCGGTCCACAGAACAGGCTCCGAAGCTACGGGCAACCTCCCGGAATATGCGCGGATGCAGGCGGTAGTCCTCCGAGGTCCGTATACGGGAAAGCCGGTCCGGCAGTACATTCACGGCCGAAGGAATGTACTCCGGCTCCAGGAGAATCTGGCGCGCCGTACACACCGCCTTCAGCTGACGTAAAGGCCTCAAGAGACTGGTGGCCCTGGTAGTCATAGAAAGGAGACAGTGCAAAACCACTTGGTTGTCCACCAACAAACGAACCCGCCGGGAAGTCGTCCCGGAATACCGGTGAGGAAAGAAACTGAGCAGGGCCAAGTGTACGGCCTGCATTTCACGAACATTGATATGAATAAGCTCCCGATCAAAAAATCCCCATGCAAGCATGGGCTCCGCCTGTCCCAAAGGCTGAAACGTCGCCCCCCAACCCGTAAGACTTGCATCCGTTGCAAGCGTGCCCAGGAAGGGCAGCGAACCCGGGTGGAGAGCCCGACCGGCAAGCCGCAAAATGTTTGTCCATGCCAAAAGGTCCAGGCGGGCTTGGGGGGTCAAACGAAGGCGATCCCGCCACGATCGTTTTCCTCATAATAACCCATAAAGACTCATCAAGAAAAAGCGGGCCAGCGGAAAGGCCAAATACAACGAAATGGCAGACCCACAAAATTGAGTCAAATGTCGCGCCACTACCCCGCCCGATTGAAGGAGGGCACGAGCCTGGGAGGCAATAGCAGCGGCCTTATTCGGAGGCACCAGAAATTGGCACCGGGTAGTGTCAATGATCACACCCAAATGGGTCTTCCGTTGCACCGGATCCCACTGGCATTTGGGATGTTTGAACTCAATCCCAAGAGCCTGAAAAACTCGCTGTACCAAATGGGACCATTCCCGCAAACGAACCGGATCAGACATGGCCGCAATGAAATCATCCAAATACGCCAAAATCAATGCGGGCACCTCCCGCGAGTACTTTAGGTAGTACTGGAGAATGGAGTCATTACCCGCTAAGCAACCAAATCGAAAACGAGTACCAGCCAGTGTACATGCAGCGGGGGTCCTTAAAAAACGGACCACAACGAGCATGACATGAGTGAAATAAAAGGGGGCCAAGGAGAGGCCAAAAGGCAGCGCCCGACAGGCGAAAACTTCACCACCCATCCGAAAGAGCAAGAAATGCTCCTGATCGGCGCGCATCCGAACATGATGGTAGGCATTTTTGACGTCAAAGCCCATCAGAAAGTCGTTCTTTTTCAAAAGAAAACCGAAATCCCTCAAGCGCTCGTAGTGGAGACCGACCTTCTTGAGGTGGCGATTGATCCGCCGAAGGTCGATGACCAAACGGTACTTGGTCTGCCCGTTCTCCGCCGGCTTGGCCACCAAAAAGGCGCACGAAATCCGGGCGTTGGAAGAAGGCTCCGTCCGGATGATCACCCCCGTCCGAAGGTACTCGTCGCGCAGCTCCCGCCAAGCTTGCCATTCCGCCGGAGTCCTGAGTGGGTACCCGCCCTGATCGAAAGGGGGCGGAGGGCCCCTCGGGCCCCACTGGAGCGGCGCCCCCATATGGATCCATTGAAGCACACGGGAGGGGGCGCCGATGCGTCGCCAGGCCGCAAGACGGCCCTGGAGGCGGGCGTAGGGCGGGGCCTCTAGGTCGGCTTGGGAGGCGCAGACAGTGCGCCGGACGTCTTGGGTTTGGGGCGCTGATGCTGGGCGCCGGAGGAAGGACCGCCGGGGGGCGAGGCCGCGGGAGCTTGGCGATTGAGCTACGCTTGATGCTGAGCCGCCGCGGACTTCGTCGCCAACTTGAGCTGCTGATTGAGGACCTCCTTGTGGATGTGCTCGAGAGGC